AAAGAAGAAGAAGAGGAGGAGGAGGAGGAGGAGGAGGAGGAGGAAAGAGGAAGAGAGGAGGAGGAAAGAAGAGGAGGAGGAAGAGGAGGAAAGAGGAAGAGAGGAGGAGGAAAGAAGAAGAGGAGGAGGAGGAGGAAAGAAGAAGAGAGGAGGAGGAAAGGAGGAGGAGGAGGAAGAAGAAGAAGAAGAAGAAGAAGAGAAGGAGGAAAGATGAAGAGAGGAGGAGGAAAGAAGAAGAAGAGGAGGAGGAGGAGGAGGAGGAGGAAAGAGGAAGAGAGGAGGAGGAAAGAAGAAGAGGAGGAGGAGGAGGAGGAAAGAAGAAGAGAGGAGGAGGAAAGGAGGAGGAGGAGGAGGAAGAAGAAGAAGAGAAGGAGGAAAGATGAAGAGAGGAGGAGGAAGGAAGAAGAGAGGAGGAGGAAAGGAGGAGGAGGAGGAGAAATAATAATATGGGGTCCTTGGTGATCTCTGAGCTTGGCTGTTTTGTACTAAACCTTTCATGACCCAACTAGGTAACAACATCAATGTTAGAAGGGAGTGGGATTTATGGAGAGGAGGAGGAGGGGGAGGAGGAGGAGGAGGAGGAGGAAAAGAATTGTGGGGTCCTTGGTGCTCTCTGAACTTGGTTGTTTTGTTCTAAAACTTTCATGCCCCAACTAGGCAACATCATCAGTGCTAGAAGGGATTGGGGTTTGTGGAGAGGAGGAGACCCGTGGACTTCAACTCCCAGAATTCCCCAGCCAGCTATGAAATATAAAGAGAGTTCAAGGGACGTTCCTGAGCAGAAGATCAATTTTGAAAGCTCTTACACATAAGTGGATGGAAGAAAGCCATCATTGAGGGGGTGGGGTGGGGGGAAACAAAAACATATCTTGGCTGTGTTCGGCCAGAGAAGCACGTAGGCCTGCGAGGCAGAAGGTCGAACCCAACAGAAGCGTCTCCTGGAGAAGCGACTTGCGTCACTGGGTCGTTCCCGCCCCCTGTTCTCAGCAAGCCGCGACGTTTGTACAACATAGTTTCAGCTCGCAATGGAAAACATGCTGTCAATAGTGGGCAGGGGGCCAAATTCGGTGGGCAATGGCACCCATACCTTGTGGGGACCTGAGGTGTGTCTCAGTGCAGCAATAATCCTTTGGGATAATACATGTCAAGTCAGCCTGGCATTTAAACAGACACACAGAGAGAGAGAGAAAGAGAGAGAGAGAGAGAGGGAGGGAGGGAGGGAGAGAGAGAGAGAGAGAAGGAGGGAGGGAGAGATATTGTACATATAAATCAGGGGTGGGTTCTACCTACCTTTGCTACAGGTTCGCAACGGGGCCGCCCGTGCTCGTTTGCTTCGCTCGCGCATGCGCGCACGCTCTTCCGCGCGTGCGCCGAAGCATTTTGATGACGTCGGGATCGGTGGACAGAGCCTCCTGCAGGTTTTACTACCGGTTCTATAGAACCGGTGCGAACCGCGGGCAACCCACCACTGATATAGATACAGGCAGACAGACAGAAAGAAGAGATAGAGAGTGAAGAGTCAAAAAGTGAGAGATAGAAATAGATGAATTGTATAGGGTCTCCTGTTTGAGGAGCAGGTTGGACTAGAATAGGGGTCCCCGACCTTTCGGACCTCAGGGACCACTTAATTCATGATTTTAAATCCCACAGACCACTAATATTTTAGTGGGTATTTACGAGACCGCCTTCTGCCACCAGTAGCCTCTCACCGACCAGTACGCTCCCACAGAGAGGGGCTCCTCCGGGTGCCGTCGGCCAAACAATGTCGACTGGTGGCCCCCAGGGGGAGAGCCTTCTCTGTGGGGGCACCCGCCATCTGGAACGAGCTCCCCCCGGAGATACGGAGGATCCAAGACTTACGCATCTTCTCCCGCGCCCTAAAAACGTTTCTATTCCAACAGGCTGGCCTGGCCTAACCTCTCTTTTAAACTTTTAAACTTTTAAACTTCTTTAATTTTAAATTTGTCTTAAGAATTTGGGGTGTTTTAAATTTCATTTTTCGGGCCAAATTATTTAATTGTATTTTAATGCTTTTATTAACATTTGTATTATATGTATTTTATCTGGCTGTTCACCGCCCTGAGTCCTTCGGGAGTAGGGCGGTATACAAATTCAATAAATATAAATATAATATAATATATATAATATGTTCTGCCTAATGACTGGCTGGGTGGGCGTGGCAAGGTGGTCATGTGACTGGGTGGGCGTGGCCAACTCGATGGCCAACTCGATGTCAATCACATCAAGGGGCGCCTCGCTGGCCTCTACTCACCCTTTTCCTGCCAGCCAATCCTCGCCTCCCCGCCCGGGCTCCTCAGGGCCCCAACAGGGAGCTAAGCTACGGAGAAAACAGCTGGCTCAGTTCAAATTGGATCTGACCGAGAAGGAGGCTCAGCAGATGCACCTCACTGAGGACTAGGAGCATTGGGTTTCCAAGCAGAGGGAAGACCCACAGGAGTGCGAGGCCAGGGACCGGCACCTGGAGGCTCAGCGGGCTGAGATGGTCAGCCAGTTCCAGGCCATGATGCAGTCCCACTGGAACAAGGCCCTCCGGCTCTTTGCCACCAGTGGCCCTTCCCTCCAGCCTTTACCCAAAGCCTCACACCAGGCGGCCGAAACAGACCCCAAGTCGGAATTTCTGCCCCCCTCCGACCCACACAAAAAGACCCCGAAGGGGGAGACTCTCTGCAGCAACACAAACGTTCATTGCACGTATCCGGCCCAGGGGCCGTAGTTTGAGGACCCCTGATTTAGTGCAATATATAAAACGCAAATAATTTTTCTGCGGACCACCCAAATTTTCTCACGGACCACCGGTGGTCCACGGACCACCAGTTGGTGACCGCTGGACTAGAAGACCTCCAAGGTCCCTCCCAACTCTGTTATTCTGTTATTGGACAAACGATCAAACGATGGAGGTTTTCAAGAAAAGATCACACAACTATTTGTCCGGGATGTTATAAGGATTCCTTATAATGTACTCTCTCTTTTGCCCCTTTCAAAAGAGAAGAGAATTTAGATGAAAATTTGCCTGAGTTGGGTCTGGTCTATGTTGTGTCTATTTTCATTTGCCTTGTACAATACCAACCTTACGCTTCATTGTTCCTTCGGTAACCCCAAGATGGAATTTTGGGGAACTGCTGATGAATGATTCCAGACTTTGATAAATATACATAAGCCAGGAATTCGGTTGCTCTGCATTCTTTGGAGAACTGCAAGCAGGACAGACGGGGGGGGGGGGTCTGCCCTCTGCTTTCAACTCTTGATGAAACATTTCCAGTCAAGCATCACAAAGAAATATATTCCATCTGGTTGGAGCACCTACTGCGGAGAAGAAGTCGGAGGCCACAGCCAACCTGCCAGGTGAAGAAACTCAACAGAAATATGAAGTTGAAGGGTTGGAACAGGGGTGAAATCTAAAATTTTCCCCTACCGGTTCTGTAGGGCGTGGCTTGGTGGGCATGGCAGGGGAAGGATACTGCAAAATCTCCATTCCCTCCCCACTCCAGGGGAAGGATACTGCAAAATCTCCATTCCCACCCCACTCCTGGGGCCAGCCAGAGGTGGCATTTGCCGGTTCTCCGAAGTACTCAAAATTTCCCGCTACCGGTTCTCCAGAACCTGTCAGGACCTGCTGGATTTCACCCCTGGGTTGGGACTTGTTTGCAGTGAAACCCCACTCAGGTTTCTGAGAATCCGTAGTACCATTGATACCCAATATGATCCATTATTTATTTTATTTTTAATTTTATTTTGTTGTGGTTAGTTGCAAAGTCGTGTCCGACCCATCATGACCCCATGGACAACATTCCTCCAGGCCCTCCTGTCCTCTACCATCCTCTGGAGTCCATTGAAGCTCACACCGACTGCTTCAGTGACTCCATCCAGCCACCTCCTTCTCTGCCGTCCCCTTCTTCTTTTGCCCTCCATCGTTCCCAGCATTAGGCTCTTCTCCAGGGAGTCCTTCCTTCTCATTAGGTGGCCAAAGCATTTGAGCTTCCTCTTCAAGATCTGGCCTTCTAAGAAGCAGTCGGGGTTGATCTCCTCTAGGACCAACCGGTTAGATCGTCTTGCAGTCCAAGGGACTCGCAGGAGTCTTCTCCGGCATCAGAGTTCAAAGGCCTCCATTCTTTGGCTCTCAGCCTTCCTTATGATCCAACTTTCACAGCCATCCATTGCAACTGGGAAAACCATCGCCTTGACTATACGCACTTTTGTTGGCAGGGTGATGTTTCTGCTTTTTAGTATGCTGTCTAGATTTTCCATAGCTTTACGAACATTTATATGCCCAATACACTCACGGAGACCTGGAGAGCTTACAGATATAAAAACCCAAATAGAGAACCCATTGAATCCCCCGCAACACACCCCAGGGGCAACAATCAAACGAATCGCTTGATGGGTCCCCATATCAACCTGGGGTCACCAGGACTATGTCTTCAGGGCCTTGAGAAAGGATGTCAAGATGAGGTCAATTTTATATCTGCAGGGATGATGTTCCACAAGGAGGGAGCCACCATGTACGTCTTGGTCACTCTAGATGGACCTCTTTAAGAGAGGGGACTCATAACTTCCTCCCTGGTCTACTGAGTTGGGTAGATGAGAAAAGACTGTCCTTCAAATAAGCACGTCCCAAGCCTTGTAGGACCTTGAAGGGGGCCACCAACCATTATGGATGTGTGAAAGCAAGGTTAGCCAGAGGAAGACCTGAAGAAGAGTTGAGTTGCTTACTGGCCAATCGGTTGTACTCGGCATTCTTGGCAGACGGATACTATCATGTTTTCCCACTCATGATATCCCCATCACATGCACCCATTCCGGAAAATAATCCTTTGGCTACTGAATGCGATCCAAAAACCGGAGGGGGGCTCCAAAATTATAACTTTGATGATTGCTTTTACCTGCCTGACACACGGAGCTGGTAACTTAAAACTGCTTTTCTCCTCCAATCGCAAACTGCTTAAACCACATTCTCCAGAAGTGGTTAAAAGAGGGTGGGGTTTAACTTTCTCTTCACATTTCTGCAGCCCGACTTATAAAGCTTTAGTGCTGGCAAAGGGTTGAGCAAACGAGCCAGCCAAGCCGATGCCCACGTTCCTCTCCGCCACACCTGAGCCAACATTTCATTCCTCTTTTGCAAATGGCTCTGCTGGATTTCTTTTTTTCTTTCCCCGCCTCTGTCGTTCTGTTGTTTTTTCTGCTGCTTTTCGCATCCTCCTATTTGCCGGCTCTCTTTCGAAAACCATCTTTAAAATTGCCGCCCGGCCCTTGGCCGCTTCCCATCATCGGACATCTGCACTTGCTGGATTTTAAAAGGCAGGACAAGTCCTTGCTAAAGGTAAGAGAGAGAGAGGGGGGAGAGGGAGGGAGGGAGAGAGAGGAGAGGAGAGGAGAGGAGAGGAGAGGAGAGGAGAGGAGAGGAGAAGAGAAGAGAAGAGAAGAGAAGAGAAGAGAAGAGAAGAGAAGAAAGAGAAGAGAAGAGAAGAGAAGAGAAGAGAATATTGGAATGAAGAATAGAGAGGAGAGGAGAGGAGAGGAGAGGAGAGGAGAGGAGAGGAGAGGAGAAGAGAAGAGAAGAGAAGAGAAGAGAAGAGAAGAGAGAAGAGAAGAGAAGAGAAGAGAAGAGAAGAGAAGAGAAGAGAAGAGAGCTGACAGGTTCCCTGGTGCAAATTCCAGAGTTTCCCCTTCTTAGGATGCTAAGATCTTTTATTTTATTTTATTTTCTCCAGGATTTCTCCTGGTTTTAAACCAGTGGAGTCGACACGGTGCTCCACCGGAATGCAGAATGTGAATCCTGTGTAGGTTTGTTTAGTGTTTGCTTGAGCTATTTGTCAAGTTTTGCTTGGTGCGAAACAAAACAGGTGTTTGTCCGTGCACGCATGTGTCTGTGCATTTCATTCAACTCTTAACTTTGAAATTCCTTAGGAATGAATGCCTTGCTTGCATTCTTGGAGGTCTAAAAATGAGGAGTTTTGTTTGTTTGTTTGTTTGTTTGTTTGTAGAATAGAATAGAATAGAATAGAATAGAATAGAATAGAATAGAATAGAATAGAATAGAATAGAATAGAATAGAATAGAATAGAATAGAATTCTTTATTGGCCAAGTGTGATTGGACACACAAGGAATTTGTCTTTGGTGCATATTCTCTCCGTGTACATAAAGGAAAAGATACGTTCTTCAAGAATCATAAGGTACAACACTTAATGATAGTCATAAGGTACAAATAAGAATAGAGAAGAGAGGAGAGGAGAGGAGAGGAGAGGAGGAGAAGAGAAGAGAAGAGAAGAGAAGAGAAGAGAAGAGAAGAGAAGAGAAGAGAAGAGAAGAGAAGAGAAGAGAATTCTTTATTGGCCAAGTGTGATTGGACACACAAGGAATTTGTCTTTGGTGCATATTCTCTCTGTGTACATAAAAGATACGTTCTTCAAGAATCATAAAGTACAACACTTAATGATAGTCATAGGGTACAAATAAGCAATCAGGAAACAATATCAATATAAATCGTAAGGATACAAGCAACAAAGTTACAGTCATGCAGTCATAAGTGGGAGGAAATGGATGATGGGAACGATGAGAAGACTAATAGTAGTGCAGACTTAGTAAATAGTTTGACAATGTTGAGGGAATTATTTGTTTAGCGGAGTGATGAGCTTTCTGAGTTGGCGCAGAAAGAACATTCTTTGTTGTGCTTTTTTGATGATGTTTGTTTGTTTGCTTGCTTGCTTGCTTGTTTGTTAGGAGAGCACAAGCAATTTCCCTCCAAGGAACAGTTCATGGGAGAGAAGCAGCAAATTCTGCTCGTAGAAATAGCAATGATTACAACGCGGCTTTAACATAAAACGCTGAGAATCCTTCTCTTGCTTCCCCAAATTGCAATAGTGCTCATTCCCATTCTAATGACTTTTAAAAAAAGAAAAAGAAAAAAGAAAAAGGCAAATTAAATTTGTCTTACATTTGAAAAAGAATAAGGCAAATTCCTTGTGTGTCCAATCACACTTGGCCAATAAAGAATTCTATTCTATTCCATTAATATATATAATTTTATCTACGATTTTTTTCTTTAACATCCAAAAGTGCTTGGTGGAGAGTGTATTGTCTGGGTCAATATACTTTTGCACACTATTCTACTGACTTTGATGGCAGGTTAGGATGGATGTTGTTGCAGTCTATGTTTATAGAGTGCCAAGACAGGAATGGAGGTAATTTTTTTAGGCTGGAACTGCTGGGAGAGCAAGAGAGTTTTTTTTTTTTTAATTTGATTTATATGCCGCCCTTCTCCGAAGACTCAGGGCGGCTTACAATGTGCTCAGCAATAGCCTTCATCCTTTTGTATATTTATACAAAGTCAGCTTATTGCCCCCACAAACTGGGTCCTCATTTCACCTACCTTAGAAAGGATGGAAGGCTGAGTCAACCTTGAGCCTTGGCGAGATTCGAACCCTGCAGTAATTGCAGGCAGCTGGTCTTAATAAGCTTAATAACAGGGTGCCTTAAACCCCTGTACTACCAAGTTAAATCTCTTTTGAGCTCAGCTTGGTCTATCCATGTGAGGTGGGGTGGATATTGGCTGACTCTGGCAATGCCACTGTGAGACGTGTTAATACATATTTATTAACCCGAGAAAACCTGTTTGCTCTTAAGAAAAAAGGAGTGAATATCAAGTCTGGGAGCTGGAATCGAATAATCAGAATCGTTCTAAAGTTCAGTTGCTCAAGGCGGGGGCTGGTGGGGGGTTGCCACCCTAAAAGGAGAAAATTACAAGCCTTCCAGTATTGACTTCTGAAAGTTATTGGAAAGGGTGTGGCTTTTGCAAGTGTGTGGACCTGTGTGCATTACACACACAGATACCACCCCCCAAAACACACACACTCATGCACAACCCAGAGAGTTGACCTTGAACAAGACATTGCATATTTAAGCCCCCTGCCTTAGTTTCTAGAGAGATACGGTGGCTCAGTGGCTAAGACGCTGAGCTTGTCGATCGAAAGGTCGGCAGTTCAGCGGTTCGAATCCCGAGTGCCACGTGACGGGGTGAGCTCCCGTGACTTGTCCCAGCTTCTGCCAACCTAGCAGTTCGAAAGCAGGTAAAAAATGCAAGTAGAAAAATAGGGACCACCTTTGGTGGGAAGGGAACAGCGTTCCGTGCGCCTTTGGCGTTGAGTCATGCCGATCACATGACCATGGAGACGTCTTCGGACAGCGCTGGCTCTTCGGCTTTGAAACGGAGATGAGCACCGCCCCCTAGAGTCGGGAACGACTAGCACATATGTGCGAGGGGAACCTTTACTTTTACCTTACCCTAGTTTCATAAACCAGAATGGGAATAAACAAACTGGTTTGTTGGAGCGCAAGGCTGGTGAATCGGGTGCCTTTAATTAGTCAGAATCTGAAAAAGTCCATTTCTGCCTCCAGTTGCCATTGGATAATAAACCTTGCAAATCTGTCTCAAATCAGGCCGAAGCATCCACGATTCGGTGAGATCCTTCTGTGTTTTATTTGATAGAGCCTTATTTGGTAGATTGTCGGGGTGCACAGTGAAATACAATTTTATTGTATTTTATTTATCTATATATTAAATTGTTATATTTTATTCCAATTTCCTTTTACAACTGTATTTTATTCCATTTTCCTTTTAAATCGTATTTTATTCCAATTTCCTTTTAAATTGTGATTTTATCCAATCCCATTTTAAATTGGTTTTTTTTTTAAATCAGATTTTAGTAATAATTTGTGTCTGGAACACTGCACTTTGATATGGCCCAAGGGCTAATCAGTAAAATAAACTCTAATTGTTGATAAGACCCCAAGAGAGAATCTGGCCATCATGCTATTTCCTAATTTCTGAGAGTTGTATTTGTGGCCCCATCTTTAAAAATGGCCCCCTAAGACATGGGCAGGTAATCAATAAACCTCTTATTAGAGTTGGTCTCACAGCCAGACAGATGTTTAGCAATAGCAATGGCACTTAGACTTATATACCACTTCATAGTGCTTTTACAGCCCTCTCTAAGCGGTTTACATAGTAAGAATATCGCCCCCGACAATCTGGGTCCTCATTTTACCGACCTTGGAAAGGATGGAAGGCTGAGTCAACCTTGAGCCGGTGAGATTCGATCCGCTGAACTTCAGCTTGCAGTCAGCTGAAGTAGCCCGCAGTGCTGCACTCTAACCACTGCGCCACCTCGGTTTAGAGTGGATTCTTGGTATTTTTGTCCACCCCATTTCTTCCCAAGGAACTGGGATAGACAGATGTGCATGTTTGATGGTGTTACAGATATTGTCGGAGGATGTAAGCTGTTCCAAGCAAAACTGCCTTTTGCAATTGACCGATGGGGATTTTGTCAATGCAGATGGTGTTCAAAGAATGCTCCAGATAATCAGTTATTTGTATCATGGCTTGTCACACAATCAACCAGATGTTTAGACCGGATTTGACATTTTTGTCCATCTGTTGAGTCCTAGCTGAGGACCTGGGAGAGGCAGATGTGGATGTCTGATCGCATTATAGGTCCCATCGCAGGATGTAAGCTGTTCCAAGCAAAACTGCCTTTTCCAATTGACCGATGGGGGTTTGGTCAATGCCGATGTTGGGCAAATGGTTCTCCAGTTGGTTTGGGATCGCACCAGGGGTGAAATGCTCCCGGATCGGACCGGTTCACCCGATCCGGTAGCAATCTTGGCCAGTGGTTCAGCAATCTGGTAGCGATGGTGGAGCAAAGCTCCACCCACCCACCCGGAGGTCATTACTTCCTGGTTTTAACCAGGAAGTAATGTGTTTTTTACCTTCTGGGCATGTACAGAAGGTTTTTTTTTTTTTTTAATTTGATTTATATGCCGCCCTTCTCCGGAGACTCAGGGCGGCTTACAATGTGCTCAGCAATAGCCTTCATCCTTTCGTATATTTATACAAAGTCAGCTTATTGCCCCCACAATCTGGGTCCTCAATTTACGTACCTTAGAAAGGATGGAAGGCTGAGTCAACCTTGAGCCTTGGCAAGATTCGAACCTGCAGTAATTGCAGGCAGCTGGTCTTAATAACCAGCTTAATAACAGGGTGCCTCAGACCACTGTACTACCAAGGGTCTTGTGAATGCGCAGAAGGTCTGTGTGCGTATGTGATGCAGCGCGTGCACTTCCGAACCAGTAAAGAAGGTAAGTAGATTTCACCCCTGGATTGCACCCAAGGTGCCTATGACTGTTGAGACTTCCTTTGCTTTCTTTTGACCCAGTCGTTCTATTTCTCTTGGCTCTCTTTCAGCTTGCGGAAAAATACGGACCCGTCTTTACTCTCTATTTCGGGTTCAAGAAAGTGGTAGTGTTGACAGGCTACGAAGCAGTGAAGGATGCTCTTGTGAACTTCACTGAGGAATTTGTGGACAGGCCTTCCATACCTATATTTGAGGAAATTCAGCATGGAAACGGTAAACGCTCGCTGTTGTTTCCCCTCCCCCCCAGAAGGAAAACTAAAACACAATGTACCTTCAGATCTGGTTATCCCAATCTTATTTCCTGGTGGAAGTCAGCACGGCATTGCTAATCATTTGTGTTTAAAAGCCCCTGTGAAGAACTTCAACAGATGTAGGACGCTGAACATTTCTGGGCAGGGTGGTATGAGGGAAAACAGAGAATAGGTAGACGGAATCTGTCCCGAAAGATTGGCAGTTTCAATAATAGAACTTAAAGTTCCCAAGTTTGGAGACTCCTGCTCTAGATCTTACTAAATACAATTCCTGGCATTGTTCAACTGCAGCTGAGCTGGGTTCGAGGTCCTGGGAGTTATAGTTTTGATCAACAAGTGGAGAATCCCAATTTCCTGGCTACTCGTCAACTTGAATGGCTTGCATCCAAGGTGTATCTTGGTTGACTTCTCATCTGAAATTTCTCCCTCCTCTTGGTGGACTTTGTGGGGTCCTTGGTGCTCTCAGAGCTGGGTTGTTTTCTTGCAGATGTTTGTGGAGTTTGCACACCTAAATTTCTTAAATTTAAATAAATTTAAATTTCCTAAATTTCCATGGGAACAGAAGGTAGCTGTAGGAGAAAAACAGCCAGAATTGAGGGTGGAGTTAAGCATGTCATCAGCTTAGAGTCCTTAAATTGCCGCAAGTGATCAAAGTCCAACTACTCTTGAATTCCATTGACCCTTATCTGGTGCCAATTTAGTATTGAACTCTAGCTGACCAAATTCCTGTGTATAGGAGATTCAAGATTTATTCATCTTGAATAAATCTTCCATGCTACGACTTAATGGATAGCCCTGGATCTTCTCTTCAATCGTATCTTCTATCTTCCCCAACAGGGGTTTTCTTCTCCACTGGAGAGTTATGGAGGTCTACCCGAAAATTTACGGTGTCCACCATGCGCAACCTTGGGGTGGGGAAAAAACACATTGAGGAATGCATCCACGAAGAGCTCGGTTTTCTGATAGAGAATATTAACTCTTTCCAAGGTGAGTGTCATGTCATGAAAATGAGCTGGAACAAGAGCCGACAGAGACCCAGAAGCCATCTCTGTTGGCCTTGGAGGAAACTGGGGAAGGGCAGTGTCAGTCCAGGCAAGGCTTCTCTGAATTAGTAAGGCCTGCAGACCTCAGGGAGAGTTCAAGAGAAGACCAAGGACTACCCCCCTCCTGATCCGAGAGCAAGGAGGAAAGAGAGAAGGCGAGAACAACGCAGACTGAGCCAGCTACGAGGGAGGAGAGTGCTCCGCCCCCCTTTCACAAGGAGGAGCCTGTTCCTAGTGCACGCGTGTGCTGAGATGCCAGAAGGCAAGAGCAGCTAAAGCAAAAGGGACAACTCGGGAGTAAGGCCAGGAGATGATTGGCCCCGCCCATAAGGCTTAAAAGAGAAGCAAAGGCACTTGGGTCTTTTGCAGGGAAGCAACGTTGCTAACTCTGTTTCCAGTCGGCATCTCTCGTTTGTTTCTGAACTCCGTGGGGCTTTGCCAAGTAAGGCCTTTGGCAATGTGTCAAAGAAGATAAAGGTTGGTGATTATCCCAAAGGACTTCTTCCAAAGGACTTTTTTTGCAACTAACTGGGACTCAGCTGGGAATGAACGTAATTCTCAGCTGTTACAATAAAATAGTTTTTTGGGGGGACTAATTGTGTCTTGTAATGACTCAGTAAGCCTAGGTCACAAAAAAACCCCTTGTTCCAGCCACAAACCCCACAGTCTTCTTTAACAAGAGTTATCGATGCGAAAGGGATAGTTACCGGCATTTCTGCAACGGAGCAATTTCTTCATAACAACTCAGTTGGAAGGGACTTCGGAGGTCTTCTAGTCCAACCCCCTGCTCAAGCAAGAGACCCTATACCCGTGTTGGTGAACCTTGGCAGTGTGCCAGAGGTGGCACGCAGCGCCCTCTCGATGGGCACATGAGCCATCGCCCCAGTTCAGCTCCACCGCGTATGGGTGCACACCTCCCGTCAGCCACCTGGTTTTAGGGTCTCTGTCACGGATGTGTGGAAGGGCGGGGCATGTGCAGGGGGGTGCACACGCATGCATGGAGGGGTGGGGCACATACAAGAGGCCACATGTGTATGCGGGGGGCATTGCAGGGGTGTGTGCATACACGGGAGCGGGGCGCATGCTTGGGGGGCATACGCGCAAAGCATTTTGGGGGTTCAAGCGCGCTTTGGGCACTCAGTCCGGAAAAGGTTAGCCATCAGTGCCCTATACTGTTTCAGACAAATTGTTATCCAAGTTTGTTTTAAAAACCTCCAGTGTTGGAGCACCCAACAACTTCAACTGTTTCCACCGATACCAGTTTCTCCTCTCTTTTACTCTGAAGGCGAACCTTTCGACCTGAGAACATTCAACGCTGCTGCAACCAACATCACTTTCGTTCTGCTGTTTGGGGAACGGTTTGAGTACAACACCCCGAATTTTGTCACTCTCCTAAGACTCATCGATGAAGTGATGTGTCTGCTTGGCTCTCCTACTTTACACGTAAGCTGGTGTTTCCCTTCCCCAACAAATCTTAACAAACTCCAAAGCACGGCCATGACTGCACCACGGAAATTGGCAACGGCTACGTCGCACAGTAGGGACGCGGTGGCTCAGGGGCTAAGACGCTGAGCTTGTCGATCGAAAGATCGGCAGTTCGGCGGTTCGAATCCCTAGTGCCGCGTAACAGGGTGAGCTCCCGTGACTTGTCCCAGTGTCGACTTGCAAAGCTTTCAAGTTGCCATGAGCAGGAGGGAGGGAGAAGTGATGGAGCGGATTTATTTCCCTAACTGACACTACATTCCACAGATGTTTGGGTTACCCCAATCAGTAGGAGAGTTTTGGGTTTACACAGCCAGCCAAAGTGGTTAATTGGAGAATGTGGTTTATGACACGGCCAGGGAGGAGGGGACAGACAGGGTCATAGGGGAATGTAAATTCCAAAAGAAATACGAACAGTTTTCTCCTACAACCACCACTCCCCTTTTACTTTTTTTTTTTTTTAAATTTGATTTATATGCCGCCCTTCTCCGGAGACTCAGGGCGGCTTACAGTGCGTTAAGCAATAGCCTTCATCCTTTTGTATATTCATTCAAAGTCAGCTTATTGCCCCCACAAACTGGGTCCTCATTTAACCTACCTTAGAAAGGATGGAAGGCTGAGTCAACCTTGAGCCTTGGCGAGATTCGAACCCTGCAGTAATTGCAGGCAACTGGTTTTAATAAGCTTAATAACAGGGTGCCTTAAACCCCTGTACTACCAAGGCTTTAATTGGAGAATGTGATTTATGACACGGCCAGGGAGGAGGGGAGAGACAGGGTCATAGGGGAATGTAAATTCCAAAAGAAATACGAACAGTTTTCTCCTACAACCACGTGTCCCCTTTTACTTATATTAATTTCCCAGTCAGGGAGGGGCCATTCAGCATCCACGTGTCCCTTGCTTCCCAAGTCGACTCCTGATAATCAATTGTTCTCCTCTTCTGATAGCTCTGCGCATAGGCGCATCTGGAACAGGCCCCAGCTGTTCCTCTTCCCCGCTTATCTCTGACTCCGAAGGCAGCTGGGGAATGTCGGACAGCCTTGGCTCCATCTCTGCTTCCAATGCAGAGCCTCCATCAGAGCCTTCCCCAGACTCCAGGACTGGCCCAAGTTCCTCCCCAACCTCTTCATCGTCCGAGTCTGCTGCCAGCTGACGGGCCACAACAATAACAATGAAAAAAAGACTAGAAAAAAGTTAGGTGGGAGGAATTATTAGAATGAGTTAGAATCAGCAAAAGTTTGGCATCTGCAAACTCTGCATCTTAATGGTCTCCTTTGCAAGCAGGGATGTACGGTCCTTCGTCTTTCTTATATTTCTCTCCTCTCCTTTTCCTGCCTTTGATGCTGACTAGCTGTTCAACTTCTATCCGTTCCTGGGATTTCTCTTCAACGCTCACAAGACTTTGCTTCGGAAGATCGAAGACGTCCGAGTGATCATCCGAGATTACATCAAGAGTAGCAGACAGGATCTCAACGGCAACAGCCTCAGGAGCTACACAGAAGCTTTGGTCTTTAAGCAGGAACAGGTGTGCCCGGCGCAAGTAACAAAGCTTGCAAACAGGGTGTGGGCAGCCGGATGCCATCCAAAAAGTCTAGATGGTGGTCAAATGATGTGCCTCGCCCATAATACCATGGTGACTACTATCTTAGTGTCAGGGTTTCAATTTACACCCCCAACGAAAGAAGACTCCAAGGCTTGAGTTTCCTCAAAGTACCATTTTATTGGCACATCTGGGAAAACCCAAATCTGAAAGCTTCCAGGTTTTCTCCACCCAAAGGAAAGTTCAAGTCCCTGCCCAGCACCCACAAGTCCATCACATGGTCCAATCAAAGCACCATCCCAACTGGAGATGCCTCCCAGTCACACCCCTCCAGGTGCAGGGCAAGATGACCTTGACTTTCTGAGAAAGGAATGTTATTAGGACTACATATCACCCACGCCATCGAAATGACTCTTAGGTTTATTGATCTCATACGTCTGAATGGCAGAGGAAAACATCTTCCCTTTGTTGGAACTAGGAATGTCTAGTCTAACAAAAGGAAGACTAAGGGCAGGGGTGGGTTCTAAATTTTTTTTACTACCAGTTCTGTGGGTGTGGCTTATTTTGTGGGCGTGGCTTGGTGGGAGAGTAATGTGACTGGGTGGGTGTAGCCAACTTTTTTTTTTTTTTTACTTTTAAAAGCATTTTTTCTACAACCTTAAGAGGTTGCAGGAAAAAAAAACGCTTTTAAAAGCCTCTGACGATCAGGCAACTCAGCTGGGATCGCCAGAGGCTTTTAAAGGCATTTTTTTTCCCCCTACAATCTCTTCGGCTGAAGAGGTTGTAGAAAAAATGCTTTTAAAAGCCGAGCCGCCCGATCATCAGAGGCTTTTTTTAAAAAAAAATTTAAAGCATTTTTTCTACAACCTCTTTAGCTGAAGAGGTTGTAGAAAAAATGCTTTTAAAAGTAAAAAAAAAAAAAAGCCTCTCATGAGGTGGGCGGGGTAAGCGAGCGGCGACGGGGCCAGGGACCGGTTCGGGGGCGTGGCCAGCCAATGTTATTACCAGTTCTCCGAACTACTACAAATTTTTACTACCGGTTCTTGCGAACCGGTGCAAACCGGGAGCAGCCCACCACTCTAGAGGGGATATGACAGCAGTTTTCCAATATTTGAGCGGCTGTCACAGAGAAGAGGGAGTCTAGCTATTCTCCAAAGCACTTGTAAGGGTAAGATAAGAATTAATGGATGGAAACCTATCAAGGAGAGAAGCAACCTGGAACTAGGGAGAAATTTCCTGACAGTGAGAACAATTGATCAGTGGAACGGGTTGCCTCCAGAAGTTGTGGGTGGACCAGAGGTGTTGCACCTATAACATCCATCATGTCCCCTCGTCTCACCCCATACTTATGCCCTTTCCTAGGACATGAACAAAAGACAGAACCTTTTCCACGAAGATAATTTAATTGCGTCCATTCTGGATCTCGTCATGGCTGGGACAGAAACCACAGCCACAACTCTGCAATGGGCTATCCTGTTGGCCATGAGGTATCCGGAGATCCAAAGTGAGTTGTTGCTCTCTTTTGTTGTGGTGATTTTCCACTCTTCTAGCGTGCATAGGTATGGAGGGTAGCGTGGCGTGGATTCCCGCAAAGTCCATGGTTTCAATTCTCAGAGTGTGTTTGGGTCAAACGATGAGCGATAAACGAAACTCCAAGAGACGAAGCACAAGTGGGAAAGACAATTTCATGCGGTCTGTCTTAGGAAATTAGAGAAGGGTTGTCTAGCTGCAAATTTAGTGGAAGAGAATGGATTGAAGCAAGCAAGCAAGCAAAAAAAGGGAGGGAAGGGAAGGAAAGGAAAGATCTCTCAGAGGAAGAAAGGAAGGAAGGGAGGAGGGAGGGAGGGAGGAAGGAAGAAAGGAAGGGGAAGGGAAGAAGGAAGGAAGGAAGGATGAAGGAAGGAAGGAAGGAGAAGGGAAGATCTTAGAGGAAGGAAGGAAGGAAGGGAAGAAGGAAGGAAGGAGGGAAGGATGAAGGAAGGAAGGAGAAGGGAAGATCTTAGAGGAAGGAAGGAAGGGAAGGAAGGAAGGGGAAGGGAAGAAGGAAGAAAGGATGAAGGAAGGAGAAGGGAAGATCTTAGAGGAAGGAAGGAAGGGAAGGAAGGAAGGAGAAGGGAAGAAGGAAGGAAGGAGGAGGAAGGAAGGGAAGAAGGAAGGAAGGAGGGAAGGAGGGAGGAAGGAAGGAAGGAAGGGGAAGGGAAGATCTCTTGAAGGAAGGAAGGAAAAGGGAAGAAGGAAGGAAGGAAGGAGGAAGGAAGGAAGGAGAAGGGAAAATCTTAGAGGAAGGAAGGAGGAAGGAAGGAAGGAGAAGGGAAGAAGGAAGGAAGGAGAAGGGAAGAAGGAAGGAAGGAAGGAGAAGAGAAGAAGGAAGGAAGGAGAAAGGAAGATCTTAGAAGAAGGAAGGGAAGAAGGAGAAGGGAAAAGGAAGGAAGGTAGGTAGGAAGGGGAAGGGAAGATCTTTTAGAGGAAGGAAGGAAGGAGAAGGGAAGAAGGATGGAGAAGGAAGAAGGGAAAGGGAAAGGAAAGGAAAGGAAAGGAAAGGAAAGGAAAGGAAAGGAAAGGAAAGGAAAGGAAAGGAAAGGAGGTTACAGCAACCACGAAACTGGCTTTACTAAGAACTTCACCAGGTAACACTTTCTACACCAGTATATGAACCCAGAACACCTTTGCAGGTGAGAAGTGACCCTTTCAAAAGTTTCGCAAGACATCTCACAGCTCCAGACCCCTGCATTTTTTTTTTTTAAAAAAACCAGTCTAACTTAAGAAAAAGGAGATACCAAAACGCTTAGAATAAAACATGCCTTCTACACAGGGGAATTCGCTCACCTGTTCATTGCTAGCAAAACACGAGTACAGGAAGATAGTAAAACGGGGGGAGGGGGAGAGAGAGCTTGTTGCCGAGACTTAAAAAAAAAAAGAGAGAGAGAGAGAGAGAGAACAAAATCATGTCGAAATGGGCTGGAATCCAGTGTGGACGAATGAGGAGGAGGAGGGATGGCGTGAAATTGAAGCAGACAGATTGGCTTTGGCCAAGACCAGTGTTTCTCAACCTTGGTAGCTTGAAGATGGGTGGACTTCAACTCCCAGAATCCGGGAGTTGAAGTCCACCCATCTTCAAGCTACCAAGGTTGAGAAACACTGTGTCAAGTTTCGAGGTCGTCTCAAATAAATTGCATTTCAAACCAAGTCTTTGAAGAAAACCTCCTATTTATTAAGCACGGCATTCTATCTCCGACTCCATCGAAGCCAATACTGACTTCCAGCCCCAAAACTCTCCCTTTCCGTTCCCCACTCCCCTGCACTCATTGGCCATCTTTCAAGTCATTCTACCCCTAATCTACTGCTCCAGCTCAAAGGAATTTCCCCCCTCCCATCCCATCTCCTAGGGGATATTATCTCCAGGGAAAATAAGTAGGTGAAAAGTCAAACGTCCCTTTCCAGACGCCTCCGCTTCTCCTTCTCATGTCAGCACTAGAGTAAATGCAGCTTGAAGTGCTGACACACTGGGCTAGACGGTGTTTGCGTTTCCTTTTTTTTTATTGCTGGGCTGGCTTCAGAGAAGGTCCAAGAGGAACTCGGGCGAGTGGTGAAGCCTGGCCACTGGGCCACCTATGAAGACCGACACCACCTGCCTTTCACCAATGCGGTGATCCACGAGGTGCAGCGTTTCATCACCCTCCTGCCCCACGTGCCACGAAGCACCTCCGTGGACACCCATTTCAGAGGCTACTTCCTCCCCAAGGTAACTCCCTTCCCCCTCCCCCCCACCTGCACAGGTAGCCCTCAAAATTTCTGGGGTTAAGTGAGATGTGGGTGAAGCGAGTTCCGGCCCCGTTTTATGACCTTTCTTGCCACAGTCGTTAAGCGAATCGTTTAACGCTTCACAGGGAGCCACAGCAGAGGGATGAAAGAGCCACATGCGGCTCCAGAGCCACGGGTTGCCGACTCTTGTAGTAAGGGATCCATATTTGTGGTGCCTATGATTCAGTCTTAACTCCAGGTGACCCCACGTCCACCAGCTGAAAAAAGATTTGAGACAGCTTGGAGGCTCCTGTTCTGATCTTCTCCTTCCTGTCCTTCTCCAGGGAACCATGGTCATCCCATCGCTGACTTCAGTCCTGCTTGACCAGAGCCAATGGGAAACCCCCCACAAATTCAACCCCAACCACTTCCTTGATCCCAGCGGGAATTTCGTCAAGAAAGACGCCTTCGTGCCTTATTCTTTAGGTAATTTAAGACCTTCTTGGAGACTTTGAGCGCTGGGAGACTCCCCGGGTCCAACGTGGCAATAACTGCGGCGAAGAGAACCGCCTTCCATCAGGAGCTTTTCCTGAAAGGAAAATAGTGTTGCCATTGCACAAAAGTTGTGTGTTTGGGAAACTCTTCAGAACACCTTTTCCTAGGCTGGAAGTTCCAACCCCTTCTTTTCCTCCTCTCCACCTTCTTCCTTTTCCTCTTCTTCTTCATATTCTTCCCCTCCTCCTCCTCCTTCCTCTTCCTTTCCTCCTCCTCTTCCTCTTCTTCCTCTTCCCCTCCTCCTCCTCCACCTTCTTCCTCTCCTCTTCTTCCTCTTCATCCTCTTCCCCCTCCTCCTTCTTCCCCTTCCTTTCCTCCTCTTCCTTCTTCTTCTTCCTCTTCCCCTCCTCCTCTTCCACCTTCTTCCTCTCCTCTTCTTCCTCTTCATCCTCTTCCCCCTCCTCCTTCTTCCTCTTCCTTTCCTCCTCTTCCTTCTTCTTCTTCCTCTTCCTCTTCCCCCTCCTCCTTCTCCTCCTCCTTCCTCTCCTCCTCTTTCCTCCTCCTCCTCCTTTCTCTTCCTCTTCCTCTTCCCTTCCTCCTCCTCCTCCATCTCCTCTTCCTCTCTCTCTTTTTTTTAACAGGACGCAGGAACTGCATTGGCGAAAGTCTGGCCAAAATGGAGCTTTTCCTCTTCTTCACGGGCCTGCTGCAGAAATTCACTTTCCGACCTCCGCCTGGGCTTACAGAAACTGACTTGGACCTGAATGTCCCTAAGACGACGTTCACTCTAAGACCACAACCACAGCTGACGTGGGCCGTTCTCCGGGAGTGAAGAAAAAGTTGCACGAGACGAAAGAAGGGGAAAGGACGTCCCTATACAGACTACTATACACCCTTTGTGTGCATACGTTTGTGTGTATGTTTGTGTGTCTGCATAATCTGTATCTATACATGTAAACTATATACATTTTAGGGCAGTGTTTCTCAGCCTTGGCAACTTTAAGATGTGCCAGACTTCCACTCCCAGGAATTGAGGTTCAACACATCTTAAAGTTGCCAAGGTTGAAAAACATTGTGTTGGGAATCGAATTCCATAGAAAGCTAGATTTAAAATTAAGCTGAAACTCAAAAGAGAATGGGGGAGAAATGTGCCGCTCATTTTTGCAAGGACCTGAACGTTACACGATTGTGGATAAAAAATTGTGGATGAAAAATGCCCCACCTGTGGATGATCTGATCCACAAAATTTACTTCCCCCACCTACTTTGTACTAAGATTATTTTTCTTCCTTTAAAAAATCTTTATTGCTATCTATCTCTCTATCTCTCTACCTACCTACCTATCCACCTATCTCTCTCTCTCTCTCTCTCTCTCTCATCTCTATCTCTATCTATATAATCTCTATCTATCTATCTATCTATCTATCTATCTATCTATCTATCTATCTAATCTAATCTATCTCTATCATCTCTCCTTCCCTCCTTCCATCTATCTATTTATCTACCTATCTCTATCTATCATCTCTTTCTCTCCCTATCTATCTATCTATCTATCTATCTATCTATCTATCTATCTATCTAAATTTAACAAACGGTTCAGCCAAACCACCTAGAACCGGCAGAATCCCACCACTGGTTTGTTTCCCTCTAGCCATCAGCTGGGACTCCGGAGGCAGCAATAGATTGGGAGTGGGCGGGGTAAGCGAACGGCCAGCGATCCAACAGAGCAGAGAGTGAGGGTGAGTGAAGGCGTGGGGGAGGGGCGAGAGAGGGCTTTGGCGACCCCTGTGAAATGGCCATTCGACCCCCAAAGGGGTCGCGACCCCCAGGTTGAGAACCGCTGATTTAGAGGAAGGAGACGCTATATTTTTGGTGCCAAATGCTCTGGAAGGAATGTTTGATTATATTCTGAACATCACCTGAAGATAATTTGAAAAGTGTAGTTGCAGAAAATTAAGCTCTGTAAAATGCTATCTAGCAAATTAAAAGACATAATTGATTATACCAACTCATCCTCAAAATTAAATGCTGTTAATTGCTAGTGACAGTATTGGTGGTACTTTTTACCAGCCAATGTAAGTTTATAAAGCTGACACAGGAGGACACTAACATTGCTAAATGATTGTTCTTCCCTATGGAATAATGAGAAGTGATATTTTGGGTGGTGTCTCTTTTTCCTGGAATATCTTCCTGGAAACTAGAAAGCATTGATCTTGGTTATCTTTCAGCATAAGCTGTGGACCTGAAGTTTTATTAATTGTATTTGTCTTTCATGTGCTGCTAAACTGTGTATTGTGTGTAGGTTTACCCTGTTTCTCTGAGATTATTTTATGCAATGTAAAAAGTTTTTAATGAATGAGTGAATGATTGAATGAATATTTAAAGAGAGTTAACAGAATTTAGAATGTAAAGAGGCAGTTTGGTATAGTGGTTAGGGCATCAGGCAAGAAACCAGGAGACTGTGAGTTCTAGTTCCGTGTTAGGTATGAAAGCTATCTGATGACTTTGGGCCAGTAACTTTTCTGTCATTTCTAGACAATTGAGTCAGTATTGTCTGAAGACATTTCTGCAGTCATGTAGCCAGTGTGATGTCACAGAGTGCTGTTACTTTCCCCACTGAAGTGGTATCTATTAATCTACTCGTATTTACATGCTTTCAAACTGCTAGGTGGGCAGCTGGGGTGAGGATGGGAGTGTAGGGAAACAATAATAAAGATAGAATATAAAATACTGATATACTAGATTTAGTAAAAGCTTGTTATTCTGTAATCATTAGGTTCCTGTAACATATATATTGTGCTTTTGTATTTGTATCACATATATTATTCCTTTCTATTTGTATCTCCTGTTACAAACATATTGTCATTAGGCCTCTGAAATATATCTGGTATTTGTCAAACGTATGTCCCTGCCATTTGACCTGAACTCATATCAATCTCTTTCTGTGCCATCTAAAAGCATGGTACGTATCTCAGTTGAAACTAGCCATCAACAAAGGGATAAATTACACCTCAGTCCTAATTTATGTTTGATCTGGATAAGATCTGGTCTTCCAGAGCCAGGGGCTAAGTAGCCAATTAAGTAAACAAAGAAATGCTTAAGATAAGACTAATTGGAAGTTTAGATTCCTTTGCAGGGCAACAAAGAATACACAAACATAAATTAGGGGCCAGAGTTGGGGACCTAACTGGTGCTTTAAAGGTATAAAAGTGGTTACATCTTCTCTGAAGATGTAAACCCTCCCATATATATATATATATCTTTGTATGTGTTTGGAATGGTTTTACCCAGCCTTTTGTGTTTGATCAAAGATTAAATGTTGATTCTTATTCAAGCCTCCGTTTAAGTCTTTCTTTTTGGTTCACTGAGAGCTTAAGCATATAGCCGGAACTTACAGGAGCTTACCCCATCACATGGTGCTCAGGTCTCGAACCTGGGCTGCTGGCTTTCCTCATCTTAATCACTGAGCCACCGCACCAACCTCAAGGACAACAGTTTGTATCCAGACTGTTGGACAAAATCGCACAAATGTGATTGCCATATCCAATAATGCTTGTGGAACCATATAGGATCCCCTATTTCATATTTACCCTATCCTGGGCATAGGCAACTTGCAGCTTTGGGATGTATGGAGATCCTACCTTAAACACTTTCTAAATGCAGTGTGGCACTTCTAAAAGCAATTCCCTTCTATGAAAAGCTCCTTAAGTTTCAAATAAACTCAAGGCAAAATTGCAAAATGGCAATTCCTCTTTAAATTCTGCCTTCTCCATGTGTGGGATTTATGTTTTCTTTGCCCCATCCACTCTAACCCTCAGTTTCTCAAACAAACAAGCAAACAAACCCCAAACCCTGTTTTTATTAGGTGATCTTCTTTCCCGTGGGAATGGAGGCTGTCAGCAAGGCTCTTGACACCCAATGTTTGCCTGCTTCTGCTTTAGCTGATTCCTGAAAGTCATCCCTCACTAACAGTAGCAACAAGGTGCTTTCCATGATTGACTTAATCAATTGCTCATGATGAGCATTTACAAACTTCTTCATGTTTACAGTGACACAGAAGTCTTTAAAATTGTGATTTGCCTATCAACAGGAATAAATTGACTTGTCATCCTCTTTTACGCCCAAGATAATTGCAGCCTTTTCTCACGTAAAACTAGTTTTTGAGTGCTGTTCACTAAACCTGTTGATGGGACAATTCTGCCATAAAATGGATGCATATTATCCAGAATCTGTGAGGGCTTTCCATGCTGTAAACCAGAGATGTTCTACCAGGGGTGGGTTCTAAAATTTTTTACTACCGGTTCTGTGGACATGGCTTATTTTGTGTGCGTGGTTTGATGGTCATGTGACAATTCTTTAGGATTTAGCAGAGGTATTGGTCTACCAGGCTTTTAACTGCTTGCAGAGCTGTACCGGTCTACCCATTTCTTCTTGGACAGTTCCGGTCTACCCATTTGTTTTTCGAGCGCACTGGTCTACCACCACACTGCCTTTTAACACTGATCAGCTGTAGGGTGGCCCTTTGAAGCCCCACAGCAAGAGTTTAAACAGTTTTTTTCCTTCTAGCTGATCAGCTGGGACTTGGGAGGCAGTGAATAGATTGGGGGCAGGGCCAAATAAAAGGTAAGAATAACGTGGGGGGGGCAGGAACAAAGAGAACCGGTTCGGTGACGTCGTATCGTCACCGCTACCGGCTCCGCCGAACTGGGCCGAACCAGGAGGAACCCCCCACTGTGTTCAACCCATGGCCATGGGCCTCATGCAGCTGTAGACAGCTAGCAATGCTATCCTACAAAATCATAAAGAAAAAATATAAGAAAAATAAAATTTGTTATTTATATACACTAACTATATTATATATTTCATATGTGGCCCAACACAATTCCTTGTCAGGTTTCCAAGTTATGAAACCCATTAAAAAAAAAAAGAAATAGGCAAAGTCCATCTTCCAAAACAAATTTCTTTTATTTATGTAGACATCAAATTGGCAAAGACTGTTGTAATTCTGGATCTGACACAAACCGGAATTACACCACGTAATATTGAAAATTAGAAACATCTCACAAAAGTCACATTCCCCAATGAAAGCAAAATCAACATTGCCCGATGTCATCAAACTCCACCTTCAGCTTGCTGACAGCCTTCATTCCCATGGGAAAGAAGATCACCTAGTAAAAACAATGCTCACTATCTATTCCCTTCTTCCATCTTAAGAATGTGGCGAGTCCGAAAAAAACCCCTTACAAAACAAGGAGAAAGAGAAGGAATAAATGAGTATAAAATAAAGCTAACTAAAATGGCTACACATTTGTCAATTTCAAGTTTGACATTCCTCTTCACTCAATGAGACCAGGCAAGCCAAAAGGATGGACATGCCTGCTGTAGGCATTGCTACTACTGTGAGTCAGTTATGGATACTCCTTGACTTATGACCACTGTTAACTCTGTCCTGGTAAACAAGACAGTTGTCAAGTGAGTTTTGCTCCATTTTACAATCTTTCTTGCCACAGTTGTTAAGTGAATCACTGCAGTTAAGTTAGCAACATGATTGGTAAGTGAATCTGGCTTGTCCATTGACCTTGCTTGTCAGAAGTTTACAAAAGGTGATTACATATCTCAGGGACACTGAAACATCATAACTATGAGTTAGCTGCCAAGGGTCTGAATTTTGATCACGTGAGCATGGGGATGCTGCAACCATTATAAGTGTGACAGATAAGAGCCTTGATAGTACAGTGGTTTAGTGCACCCTGTTATTAACACAGCTGCCTGCAATTTCTGCTGGTTCGAATCTCTCCAAGGCTCAAGGTTGACTCAGCCTTCCATCCTTTCTAAGGTAGGTGAAATGAGGACCCAGTTTGTGGGGGCAATAAGCTGACTTTGTATAAAATATACAAAAGAATGAAGGCTATTGCTTAATGCATTGTAAGCCGCCCTGAGTCTCCGGAGAAGGGCGGCATATAAATCAAAAAAAAAAAAAATGAACATAAGTACTTTTTTCAGTGCCATTGTAACTTTGAATGGTTACTAAAACCACTATTATAAGTCAAGGACTACCTTTATAGTGATCAAATGGCCATGAAGTATACAGTCCTGAAAATGTCTTTGAGCAAATGGAACACACAGACTTTTGCTGGGTTTTCTTTGGTTAGCATCTGATATTTGTTATCTTAATAGGTAGCTCATCATGCAGCTTCTGACCTGATCATAAATAGTTGCTAATGTTCAGCATTTGTCATTACCATGGATAAAGACTCCATTGGTGCCTAAATACTGCCCACCCTCCCTTGATATATTGTCTGAACGAAAACATTGAGGAATATTGAATCCTTTAGTCATGGTGAAGATTTACTGGTTTGGTAATCATGCTTTCCCTTCATTAGATTTAATATATCTCTCATTCTAGAAATCTGCCTTTATGACAATGTCTTGTGCATAAATCAGTCTCGCCTCTTCCTTCCTGACCTCCAAGAACTTTCACCAAACAAGACATAAATGGAAACTGTATGACAGGAGGTCAGAACGGCCCTAACAGATATTAATTTCTGCTCATTAAACTCATTTTAATAGTGCATTTTAATAGCTTCTGTATTATGATTCCTTCCCATTATTGCCTCATCTGTGTTTTAATATACCAGACTTAATGGCAGGGGCCAAGTAGGATCCTTATTAAGCTCTTTTAAGGTTTGTAGTCTATGCCATAGTCTATCTTTGCACTCATGATTGCCCAGGCAGGCTGGCAGTGCCCAGCTTTTAATAATATTTTGTTAATGTTACACAGGACATTGAAACTGATTTGTGAAAGCTGACCTGAAAGCCAACAAAGCAGATTTTGTCTTGTGCAAGAAGTGGTTGCCCAGTTAGATGTAATTTGATGCAGGAAAAGAGATTTTTCCATCTTTAAACTGATACTGAGAGAAAAGGGGATTAGAACTGATCTTTGGAACAACATTGTCTGTCACGTAAAATGTCTAACTCTCTTGTATCCCAATTCCCCACAGCCCTGCAAGGGTAACACAACCACATATCCCATTACTCCCACAATCCCACCTTACCTCTAACTCCTCCCCTTGGGTATAAGAGGTCACACACGAGGCCATCCAGCAGTTCCAGATGTATACCTGTAAGAGAAGGATAAAGCTCAGTTGCTATTAACTGAATAAGCCTAAGATTAGTTCAGGCCTACAATAAAAGAATTAATGGAAGATATCATATTGTCTTGTGAGTTATTGGTTTAGATCCATCAGCTTAACAGATTGGTAGCTGAGGATGGTTACCCATAACTCTGAATAATGATTGAACGAACTGTTTATTCTGAAAAGAAGAGCAGAATAAACACCAGAGCGTTCACCAGGCAAATGGCTGCACAACTGACACCCAGAGGTGCCATACCAAGAACCACACCAGCTGAAAGTGAGCAGGACTTCGAGCCGGACTCACTACTCAGGAACAAAAGACAACAGGAAATAACAAGTGATCACAAAAGGGACGCACTGCAAGAGAGAGACGAACTCAGGTTATCCATACTAAAAATGATGGAAATGCCTACCAGCAACCAAGAGCTCATTGCGAAACTCCAAAGCCTTCTAGGAGACCGTGGAGCAGCGATGGAAGCCCAGGAACAAGCACAAGAGACCACCACCCGGTAAGAGAGGAGCTCTTTCAGCCAGACACGCCAGACTGGGCCGAATTCATTTTCGTGCCCTTTTCCCGGTGGCCATCTTTGAATGGCCAGCAACCAATGGGGAGCCTGGATTTAAATCCAATGGCGTGAACTAGCAAGAACCCCAAAAGGAACGAAGAATATTCCAAAACAACAACGAAGAACAAAATCAAAACACCAGGAGCTCGCCTACCGAGCTCGAGATAGAAAAAGCTATTGAAACTCTAGCGGCAGCATTTGGCTCTGCTTTCAAGCATCACACGCAAACCGTGAGGAGACTTCACAGATGCGAAGGGCTAACGGGGAAATGACCACCGCCTGCAGCAGCCACCGATCAACAACGGGCACCACACTGGCCCCGCGATGAACCCCAGACGAGCCGCACTACCTACCACCAGCACGAGACCGAGGGAAGAAGACCAAGCCAGACACTCACCGATCCTACGACCTCCACCAGGCTTCCCTGCTCGTCCTGAGTCCAGTGCCCATGGATCAGAGCCCGCCGCCACCGCCGAGCCGCTGGACTCCTGGAGACCTCGCCCAGCGACCACAATGTTTCTGTGCCTTCCATCGATGCCCAGCGGAGAACTGGTCATCCAGGAGCAACTCTGGACATCCAGTGCCCAGTCCAGGTACTCCAGGGGTGAATCCGACCTCCCAGGGATTATTACTCTGAAACCCCCCTCCCCTTTTCTGATCCGCTTGGTAGTAAAAAGTGCCAATGAAGTCTTCTTTTCGAAACGCCAAATAGTATATGCCTCTCTTTTTTTTTTTGTCTCAGCACACACCTACACAATTATTTTTTTTAAATTTATTTTTATATGCCGCCCTTCTCCGGAGACTCAGGGCGGCTTACAATGCGTTAAGCAATAGCCTTCATACTTTTGTATATTTATACAAAGTCAACTTATTGCCCCCATAATCCGGGTCCTCATTTTACCCACCTTAGAAAGGATGGAAGGCTGAGTCGACCTTGAGCCTGGTGAGAATTGAACTAGCAGTAATTGCAGGCAGCTGGATGTTAAATGCTGCCTTAGTAGGAGGCATTAGCCTCCTACGCCACTCAGGCTCCGGATATATGGTTAGTGTTATTGCACAGATTTGCTCTTTTTAGGGAACGGGGTGGGGGGGGAACTGGGTTCTTTACCTGTAAGGGGTCCTATTTGAAACAGCTAGATTGAAACCCCACCCCAACTTTTTGTAAAAATAAAATAAAATAAATAAACATATGACTTACTAGATGGATAATCAGTTTGCTGGCGATGGCCGCTTAGGCAGTTCATAGGAGGATCAATCCTTTGCACAGAATCATGAGGTTTCATTTTCATTCATGCTTTCCTTTTAGGAAGGGCAATTTAGGAACCTGGCATATTTTTTGGTGTGCAAAAAAAAATTATTATTATTTATTTATTATTTATTAAATTTATATGCCGTCCCTCTCCGGAGACTCAGGGCGGCTAAAATCTCCCAATCTTGGGTTTTATCCTAGCATTCCCAGGAAATGGGAGGGAAAATTATGGTTATGGAGCACGGTGCTTCATATTTGCAACCCAAATCCTTCCGCCGTTGAATTTTTGCAAGCCGTGAAGCCTCTTCATTTAGGGACCGCAACGGGGACTGGCAATTCCGTTGCTAAGCAAAGCAGTCGCTAAGTGACACTATGACGGCGCCTGTGATCTGATCCCAGCTTTCCTGGGCTTTTCAGACATGCCAGGGTCGTATTAAATGTGTGGGTTGGTTGCAAAGTACTTTTTCATCCCTGTTGTAATCGCAAGCGTTCGCTAAATGAGGCAGTCACTAAACAAGGACTGTCCTGACCTGTATCTCATTTCCCACCGCTGCCGCTTCCTGGAAACGTCATATACCTTAATAATAACGCCATGATTCCTAGACTCTTATTTAGAATCAAAACATCTGTTCTAAACTGTGATACAGGTAGTCCTCGAGTTATGACCACAATGGAGCCCAATGTTTCTGTTGTTAAGTGAGACATTTGTTAAGTGAGTTTTCCCCCCATTTTACGACCTTTTCAGGTCTCCGTTATTAAGTGAATCGCTGCAGTTTGATAAGTTAGTAACCTGGTTGTTAAGTGAATCTGGCTTTCCCGTTAACTTTGGTCACAAAAAGGGGATCACATCACACACACACACACACAAGGGACACTGCAACCGTCATAAATATGAACCAGTCGCCAAGCATCTGAATTTAGATGACACGACCACGGAGAGGTCATAACTGTGAAAAAAACAGTCTTCGTTTTTTCGGTGCCGTTGTAACGTTTGAACGGTCACTAAATGAACAAGTCGTAAGTCGAAGACTACCTGTATCGATAGGGTGTGTAGACAACAGCAACAACAAAGCAGGATGGTTGGAATCCCCGATCAAAACGGCTGATTGTGATCTGAGAATCGTCTTTGGGTGTGACAATAACTTCGCAGTGATATCATATATGACACGCTGCTCGTAAAACCGCCTAAGCTCATTGCCCAATTTCCTCTCTTAACGCCAGATTTCCCCCCCCCCCCCACCGGCTTAACACGTCGCGATGTTTTGTTTCTTCCTCCAATGTTTTGTTCTCCGCAGATCCAGACTGGGCCTCTCACACGCTGGGGGTCTTCATTTGCTTAAATTGTTCGGGGATCCATCGCAACATCCCCCAGATCAGCAAGGTGAAATCCGTCCGTATGGATGAATGGGACTCGGCGCAAATTGAGGTAATGGGTTGTTCGAAGGTCAGATCGATAAGATCACGATTTGGGGTCGTGCTTTACGTTAAAAATGAAATTCTGTTGCCTGCTCTCAAAAGAAAGTATATATCTATCCATACACAGACATAACACATATATACATACGCTACACACACATCTATCTATCATCTATCTATCTATCTATCTATCTATCTATCTATCTATCTATCTCTATCTCTATCTCTATCCATATCTATCTATCTATCTGTCTGTCTGTCTGTCTATCATCTATCTAGTTATCTATATCCATCCATCCATCTACCTACCTACCTACCTACCTATCATCTATAATCTATCTATCTGTCTATCATCTATCTAGTTATCTATATCCATCCATCCATCCATATCTGTCTGTCTGTCTGTCTATCATCTATCTAGTTATCTATATCCATCCATCCATACATACATACATCCATATCTGTCTGTCTGTCTATCATCTATCTAGTTATCTATATCCATCCATCCATCCACCTACCTACCTATCATCTATCTGCTTATTGCTTAGCACATTGTAAGCTGCCCTGAGTCTCCGGAGAAGGGTGGCATATAAATCAAATAAAAAAAAATCTATCTGTCTGTCTATCTATTATCTATCTAGTTATCTATCTAGCTATCTATATCCATGCATCCATCCATCCATGCATCCATTCATCCATGCATCCATCCATGCATCCATTCATCCATGCATCCATCCATCCATGCATTGCATGCATGCATCCATCCATCCATCCCTATCTATCTATCTATCTATCTATCTATCTATCTATCTATCTATCTATGGTATCTATCTATCTGTCTGTCTGTCTGTCTATCTATTGTATCTATGGTATCTGTCTATGGTATCTATCTCTATCTATCTATCTATCTATCTATCTATCTATCTATCTATCTATCTATCTATGATACTGTCTGTCTGTGTATTTATTTGTCTGTCTGTCTGTCTGTCGATCGATCCATCCATCCATCCATCCATCCATCCATCCATCCATCCATCCATCCATCTATCTATCTATCTATCTATCTATCTATCTATCTATCTATGCTTATCATTGGTTGTTTATATGTCAATCTGCGCCTTCTGTGGGCATAAGGCTTGTCATTGGTTGCTTTTTTGCATACGTTATAGGCTTAATTAATGCTCTTGCTAGCTCTTACATTTGAGGCTGATTTTTCAACTGTGTTGTTGTAATGTAGGTACTGATGAGTCAATACGAAATGCTTGCATCTACCTCTGTTTGTCTTTTGACTGCATTGTTTAAATTATTAAAAGGGACTAACTGTTTTAAATATATCTCTGTTTATTTGCAGTTTATGGCTTCCACGGGGAACACATTCTCCAAAGTTAAATACGAATCCAAAATCCCACCATTTTATTATAAGCCAACTTTTTTGGACTGCCTGTAAGTATCCACCTTTTGCTCAAGCATTTTGGGGAGAAGTATTTTCCAAGGTACGCCGGAGCGACTATCATCTTCATCCCGAAAGCTGCTTTCTGTGGATTTGTTTTTTTTTTTAAACTGCAATGAAACTTGACGGATTGAAAACTCTTAACTCGCATGAGATTGCAGGTGGATTATTTACTCAGCTCTTGGATGTTACTGATGAAAACAATAGCTGTGTTTTGCTTTGTTGTTGTTGTTTTAGGTAACTAAATTGCATTATTTGTTTGTCCCGAAAAAGCCTTCCAGGTTTAAACTAACCTGTCGAAAAAAAAAGAAAAATAGATGTTTATGTGTGAATGGAACAAAACATGAATTACGGAATTCGTCGCATATTGATTGAGTTTATAGTGCTAAAAGGGGACAAAATTCACTTAATTGCAACAGAAATTTTGGGCTCAGTTGTGATTGTAAACCGAGGTATTGCTGGAGGATATTGCTTTAGGTGAAAAAAATTCATCATTGCAGTGCTTTTTAAATCAGTGCTTTTTCTGATTTTCTTTCTTTCATTTTTTGGTCAGACTGTTACGAGAACAATGGATCAGGGCTAAATACGAAAGGGAAGAATTCATTTTCACCGAGAAGCAGGAGCCTTATTCTGCAGGTAATTGGGAATATATATATATTTGTGTTAGTATGAATCTAAATATTTACTGTTCAAAGTTCTTATTGACTTAAGCCTCTTGGGGAAAACTTCCCAATTTACTTCCACTTTTAACCATAGTTCTGTGATTGGTCCAAAATGGAGTAACTGATTATCGTGAGCAAGGATTACATAGAATCCTGATTTTACATGTTAGTTTGTTCACAACTAGTGAACAAACCCGGGTTGAGAAACCCTGGTTAAATCAGGGTTTCTCAACCTCCTCATTTTCTTGCCTTATGTTCCAGCTGTGTTCTTGATGCTTTTGCCATGTAAGTGTGCAAAAGAGACTTGTGTTTCCTACCAAAAAAAAAGAAAGAAAGAAAGAAAGAAAGAAGAAGAAGAAGAAGAAGGGGAAAGTAAACCTAGCACACGCACTAAAAAGACCTGAGTAATTTGATTTATTTTTAGCTGGCCAAACAGGATGTGGACCACTTGTTCAGAAGAAAGCCACTATTGGCGTGAGCTCAGGGCAGTCTTAAAATTAGCAAGACTCGTATTCATTTGGAAACTGATTTTTTCTTTGTTTCGTTCTACCTGTTTTAAGAGATTGGCCAGAGTGTAGGGTGGAAATAAATTACAGGTATGGTGGGAATGGCTCACATAAACTTAAGTCAGACTTAAAAGTTGAGAGGACCAATTTGGTCTAGTGGTTAAGGCACCAGACTAGAAAGCAGGAGGCTGGGAGTTCTAGTCCCACCTTAGCCATGAAATCCAGCTGGGTGACTTTGGGCTAAACACTAGGAGACTCAGAGTTCTAGTCCTGTTTTAGGCATGAAAGCCGGCTACGTGACTTTGGGCCGATCACTAGGAGACTGGGAGTTCTAGTCCCGCCGTAAGCATGAAAGCCAGCTGGGTGACTTTGGGCCAGTACCTCCCTCTCAGCCCAACCCACCTCGCAGATTTCTTGTTACGGGAAAAATAGGAGAAGGAAGATGTGTTGGATATGTTCACCACTTTGAGTTCTTCATAAAAATAATAAAAGCAGGATATAAATAAATAAAAAGAAATAACACAGTCACTCCTTTTGGGAAATGCCAAATCCCGTTTGGGACAAAATGCAAGCTTTTCTAAGGCCTGAGAAATACTGGTTTTGTGTGAGCATGACACTTCATTAACAGAAATCAGAAAGCACCAGGAAGTATTGGTTTTTATTTTTTTTTGAAGGCTAATAAATTTTATTGCAAGGCAATAAGCTTTCATGAACTGACAGGTGGCACACATAGCCGTATTGGTGGGCACGGAAGTTCAGCTCCGGCATGTATGCACGTGCTGGCCAGCTGATTTTCGGGCCTTGTGGGCCCACCAGAAGTAGTGAAACAGGCCGTTTCCTGCTTCCGGAGGGCCTTGGGGGTGGTGGGGAAAGCCTGTTTTTCTCTCTCCTCAGGCTCCAGAACCTTTTTAGGAGCTTGGGAACGGTAAAAACGGCCTTCCCCACCCCTCTGGAGGCCCTAGGGAGGCAGGAAACGGCCCGTTTGCTGACTTCCGGTGGGCTCACAAAGCCCGAAAATCAGCTGGCTGGTGGAAGTCAGCAAACGGGCTGTTTCCGGCTTCCAGGGGGCCTCCGGAGGGGTGTGGGGAAGGCTGTTTATGCCCTCCCCAAGCTCCTAGAAAGGTTCTGGAGCCTGGGGAGAGAGAAAAACGGGCCTACCGGGCATGTCATCACGTGCCAGGAGCGGAGGGGGAGTGGGGGAGTCACGCATGCATGCAGGGGGGTGGGGCATATAGAATTATGAGTGTGGGCACGCGTGTGCGCGACCCCCGCTCCTCCCCGCTCCTGGCACACGATGGCAAAAAGGTCAGCCATCACTGCTCTATAACATTTCAGACAGATGGTTGTCCAATCTCTTCTTAAAAACTTCCAGTGTTGGAGTTCCTGTTGGCGTAGTCAGCCTGCCTCTAGGATTTGCAGCTCTGACAGGCAAGCTGTTTGCTTCCTGATTCCTTGGTGTTGGCAACTGTGTGCAGAAAATGAGAAACAGTGGGCACCCCTTCCTTACAAGGACAAGCCAGAGACTCTTGCAGGAGGGAGAGAGAGAGAGAGAGAGAGAGAAGGAGGGGGAAATGTTAACTAGACAACAGCCGAAACAGCCGAAGTTATAATATGGTGAACGAGTTAGACACCGAAATAGCGTCACACAACACTTGCGAAACTAAATGTTACGGCTTCGTAAACAATCTGGAGGCTGTTTTTTTCCCCTCCTGCCCATTCCTGCCTTTGAAGATTACTTGGTGCCCCCATAACAAGCCATGATCGTCAAGATAGTTTTAAACCAGGACTTATGGCTTTTGAAGAAGCTTGGTTTGTGTAGATGGTCCTCCCAGAGATTTTTGGTCGAGAGGACTTTCCTGAATTCTTCTAACTCTTCTAACTCAAGGATGAGAAGTGGGTGATGATCTCTTAGAGATGATTATGACTCCCGTTATCTCAAACGATTGGTCGTGTCGGGTGGGGACGATGGGAGCTGGAGTCCAACAATATCTGAAGAGTGAGAAGATCCCAAGCATTTGAAGGGAAGAAATGGAGTTCCAAGCATTGGGGGACACCAGTAACTTCAAATTAAGGTTTTCTGAAGGTGGAGGGTATATTCCAGAAGTGAGTAGTGGGTTCTCCCAAGAGGCTGGCATGGACACTACAATGTTGATGGAACCATTGAAATCAGGGGTCCTCAACCTTTCGGACCTCAGGGACCACTAAATTCATAATTTTAAATCCCACGGACCACTAATATGATTTGCCTAATGACCAGCTTGGTGGGTGTGGCTAGGTGGTCATGTGACTGGGTGGGCATGGCCAACTTGATGGCCAACTCGATGTCATTCGCGTCGAGGGGCGCCTCGCCAGCCTCTACTCGCCCCTCCCCTGCCAACCACTCCTCGCCTCCCCACCCGGGCTCCGTAGGTCCCCAACAGGAAGCAGTTGTTGGAGCTAAGCAGCTACCACGAGAAAGAGTTGGCAAAACAGCTCAGTTCGAATTGGATCTGGCTGAGAATGAGGCTCAGCAGAAGCACCTCACTGAGGACTAGGAGCATAGGCTTTCCAAACAGAGGGAAGACCTGAGGGAGTGCAAGGCCAGGTACCGGCGCCTGGAGGCTCAGTGGACTGAGATGGTCAGCCAGTTCCAGACCATGATGCAGTCCCACTGGAACGAGGCCCTCCGACTCTTTGCCACCAGTGGCCCTTCCCTCCAGCCTTCACCCAAAGCTCTGCACCAGGAGGCTGAAGCAGACCCCCAAGTCGGAGTTTCTGCCCCACACAAGAAGACCCCGAAGGGGGAGGCTCTCTGCAGCGACACAAACGTTCATTGCACGTATCTGTCCCAGGGGCCGTAGTTTGAGGACCCCTGGTTTAGTGCAACATTAAAAAAATGCAAATAATTTTTCTGTGGACCACCACCATTTTCTCGCGGACCACCAGTGTTCCACGGACCACCAGTTGGTGACCGCTGGTTTAAAAGATGCAGGCTGAGGTGTGGAAGCGTAAAAGAAGATGTTTGATGCTCATTGTGCAAAAACACACCAGCTACGGACAAAGATGCTCTCTTCTTCTTGACTCCCAAGGAAAATGCACAGAATTAGCCTCTTTCATGCCAGGCCCTCAAATCCTTCGTTCTGCTCAGAGCTCAACAATAGCATTGTTGTTAATAAAGCAGTGGGTGTGTGGTGGAAACGGTGCAGCTGGGAACGTGGGGGTCACGAAGCTGGGGTCTAGGGTAAGAAGGCGGTTTTTTTGGGAGTGGGGCAACACACAACAGCTTTCACGGTGTCCTCGTGAGAACTTTGGCATTTCTCCCTCCTCATTGTCTCAAGATGGAACATACAAACTCTTGTTTTCCTCCTCAGTTGCACCAAGGAGTAGCTCAATCTGCCCTGCCTTCTAAAGGACACTAAAAAGCAAAGAATAGGAATGGGAATGGGAATGGGAATGGGAATGGGAATAGAATAGAATAGAATAGAATAGAATAGAATAGAATAGAATAGAATAGAATAAACGTTTCAAATGGAATGGAATGGAATGGAATGGAATGAAATGGAATCCAATCCAATCCAATCCACAATCCACAATCCACAATCCAAAATCCAAAATCCAAAATCCAAAATCCAAAATCCAAAATCCAAAATCCAATCCAACGACAACGCTACCGTTTTGCCCGATCCGCGGCGAACCGGTAGGAACTCACCACTGTCCTGGGTTATATGAACAACACTTGGATTTCAGGGGTGGGTTCTACTTACCTTTACTACCGGTTTGCAATGGGAACTTCTGCCCGTACGCAGATCGAATCTGCATGCGCAGATCTTCCATTATGACATCCGGGCAGGTGGGCGGAGCCTCCCGCTGCTTTTACTACCGGTTCGCAAGAACCGGACAGAACCGAGAGTAATCCACCACTGTTGGAGTTCCTTCTGAGCAGTTTCTTTATTGTTGTTCGCCTACAGACAGAATCTTGCCAGGCCAAAGCAGAAACTGAACCTGTTATCTCTACTAGGAGACAGTCTGTTATAAAGGAACAATCCAGGTTTCATTTTCTTTTCACAAAAGAGGTCCACCTGCTTCCAGTAGAAAACCCTGCTTTTTCTTACTGTTTTCTACACAGGCTACCGGGAAGGATATCTGTGGAAGAGGGGACGTGACAACGGGCAGTTTTTGAGCAGGAAATTTGTCCTGTCGGAACGGGAAGGAGCCCTGAAGTACTACAACAGAAATGATGTAAGAGAGGTGATTGATGGCGGTTGGTGGTGGTGAGAGAGGCCCTCTTTTGAAGAGTGGGTCACTTAGGGAAACTGAGGAGAACCTGCCCAGTCTCTCGTTTGTAGATTTTAATTAATTATATATGGTACATTATATTCTGGAAGGACATGAGAATAAGGCTCTGCTCCTAAGTTCTCACGGGCCTTGTGCTAACTTGGGAGTGAGTTAATGGTTCAAAGGTTCGTCGGTTGAAGGAACGCCAAAGAGAGATCAGCAGATCCTATCCGCTAACTCCAAGGAGGCTAAATCTAGTCCAAAACAAAACTAATCCCACACAGCTTCAATCACTCGACCCTCTCAATTGGGTTACTAGATCCCTGTTGTGACCTAGGCTCATTTAGTCATTAAAAGACACAATTAGTCTTAAGCAAACCTATTTTATTATAACAGCTGAGAATTACTTCATTCCCAGCTTAGTCCAAATTAATTCCAAAACAAGTCCTTCAGAAAAAGTCCTTCGGCCTTATCACAAACCTTTACCTTCTTTGGCATCCTGCCAAAGGCCTTTCTTGGCAAAGCCCCACGAAGTTCAGAAACAAGAGATGCTGACTGGAAACAGATTTAGCAACGTTGCTTTCCTACAAAGAGCCCAAGAGCCTTTGCTGCTCTTTTAAGCCTTATTGGAGGGACCAATCATCTCCAGGCCTTACTCCCGAGGCGTCCCTTTTGTTTTAACTGTTCGTGCCTTCTGGCAGCTCTGTGCATGCGTGCACTAGGAACAGGCTCCTCCTGTTCCTCTGCATCTCTGCTATCCGACTCTGGGGGCTCAGGAGTCCGTGCATCGCTCCCAGATGGCCCTGGCCCCATCTCTGCCTCCGATGCAGAGCCCTTGTCCGGGCCTTCCCCTGATTCCAGGACTGGCCCATTGTCCTCCCCAGCCTCCTCACTGTCCGATTCTGCTGCCAGCTCCGCAGGCTGCTGGTGGACCACAACAATCCCAGATCCACTTTTGCCACGCCGTGCTTCCTTCCCAAGCTGCATACTTAGTGGGAGAGGACAACCATTTCAGATAGGAGGATAATGCTAGTTTTTCTGATTGTAGGTGTGGAAGACTGGAGTTCTCACCAGGTTGGGTTAGGGCTGAAGGAGATTGGGATAATGGTAGTCTTGTTTGTGGCGGGAAACTCAATTGTTATGGCGTTGAACCATCTTCTTCCAAAACTTGGTGGATTTTGTGGGACTCAGCCCATCGTGCAAATGCAAACATGGTCTTTTGATGTATTAACTGGCTGTATGTTTAGCATGTCAAGTGAACTCAGGCAAAAGATGGCCTATGGTCAACGTCGAATAAAGATGAAGGGATGGACAGGTTCTCCTTTGAATGAAAGAACTTCACTGGACCTTGAGAGGAAAAGAGACTAGTCCAACAGGATCCACCAAAGCAGGATTTATCAAATTTGACAGCTTTAAGACGGGTGGGACTTCAATTCTTAGCAGGCTGGCTGGGGAATTCTGGAAGTTGAAGTCCACAGAGTTGCCAAGGTTGAATAAACACCGCAGTAGAACATCTCTGTCTGACAGAAGGCCATGAATAAGGAAGGGTCTAGCCCAGCGTTGATAATTAGATATGTGGACTTCAGCTCCCAGAATTCCCCAGCCGGCATCATGGCTGGTGCTGTCCAAGGTCCTGATAGCTCCTCACATTTAAAAAAAGGACAACTTGCTGAGTCATCTCTTCATAGACATGACTCAGCTCCTTCCCATGGTTGGCAAAGAAATAAGGATGGTGACTTCATGATTGCTTCTGGACCTTCTGGAAATCTGGAGCCAGAAATAAGAGCAAACGGGTGTTGATTCATAATTCATAGTGCTCCATCTGAATGGGTTTTTTTTTTTTAAATGATCCTTTTCTCGGAAAGTTTAAAAGACTCTTTGCATTGCTGAGGTGAATCGCAATTAAAAACAGAAGCCGCTTAATCTGTCTGGGAGATCTATTCACTGTTGTTGTTGTTGTTAGTTGTGAAGTTGTGTCCGACCCATCGCGATCCCATGGACAACGTTCCTCCAGGCCTTCCTGTCCTCTGCCATCCTCTGGAGTCCATTTAAGCTCATGCCGACTGCTTCAGTGACTCCATCCAGCCACCTCGTTCTCTGCCGTCCCCTTCTTCTTTTGTCCTCCATCGTTCCCAGCATTAGGCTCTTCTCCAGGGAGTCCTTTCTTCTCCTTAGGTGGCCAAAGTATTTGAGCTTCCTCTTCAGGATCTGGCCTTCGAAAGAGCAGTCAGGGTTGATCTCCTCTAGGACTGACCGGTTGGATCGCCTTGCAGTCCAAAGGACTTGTAGGAGTCTTCTCCAGCACCAGAGTTCAAGGGCCTCGATTCTTTGGCGCTCAGCCTTCCTTATGGTCCAACTTTCACAGCCATCCATTGCAGTTGGGAAGACCATGGCCATCTGTCCACTGATTCCCCCATATTTCTTCTGTGTTTACTGAATGTGCCTGGGAATTCTGGGAGTTGAAGTGCACAGGTCTTAAAATTGCCAAGGTTGGTCACTTCGATTGAAATCCCGACCTTATGTTAATTCCTCATGGATTACGAAATTACTTCTCCCAATTTTGTTTGGGATGAGTACTACCTGTGTACCAGATGCGTCACAGATATCATAGCGAAGCCCTCAAACATTGCAGTTGTGGTTAATGTGTTGTTGTGGTTTTTGCTCGCCAGGCCAAAGAACCCAAAGCGATTATGAAAATTGAGCATCTCAACGCCACCTTCCAGCCTGAGAAAATCGGAAACCCTCACGGGCTACAGATCACCTACTTGAAGGACAACAGCACAAGGAATATTTTTGTTTACCATGAAGATGGCAAGGTGGGGGCCCCGAAGTAAGGAAGGAAGCAGCTCTGAGAGTTGGTTTGCATGTGGCCAAAAGGAGCAGCGAGTAGAGACTGTGTGTGTGTGTGTCTGTTTGTGCATCCCTTCTGACTTGTGATGGCAACAGGGATGACTCCAGATAATTGCTAAGAAGACAATTCTCCACCCAATATTGTTCTCTTTGTCTTCTTATCCATCAATCATCTCTCTCTCTCTTATTTCTCTCTCTCTCTCTCTTATTTCTCTCTCTCTCTCTCTTCTCTACCTCTATCATGTCCATCCACCCATCCACCAATCCATCTCTCTCTCTTATTTCTCTCTCTTTTATTTCTCTCTCTCTCTCTTATTTCTCTCTCTATATATTTCTCTTATTTCTCTCTTATTTCTCTCTCTTATGTCTCTCTCATTTCTCTCTCTCTTTTATATCTCTCTTATTTTTCTCTCTCTTATTTCTCTATATATTTCTTATTTCTCTCTTATTTCTCTCTTATTTCTCTCTCTTACGTCTCTCTCATTTCTCTCTCTCTTTTATTTCTCTCTTTCTGTCTTATTTTTCTTTCACTCATTTCTCTTTATATTTCTCTGTCTCTCTCTTATCTCTCTCTCATTTCTCTCTCTCTATTTCTCTCCCTCTCCCTATTTTTCTCTCTTATTTTTCTCTCTCTCTTATTTGTCTCTCTCTGTCTCTATCCCTATCATCTGTCCATCCACCCATCCATCAACCCATCTCTCTCTCTCTCTCTCTCTCTTTTATTTCTCTCTCTCTCTCTCTTGCTATCTTACTGAAGGGTAACCCTTCTCCCTTCCTGAACCTCTTGAAATTAATTTGAAACACAATATTATTTCTGACTCAAACTACTTTACATCTTCTTTTTTTAAACTGCAGCACATGCAGCTATATACTGTACATGTTTCTTTAAAAAAAAAAAAAACTGCCATTGAATGAAATAGAATAATTTTGAAAGTGGAACCTGGAGAAATGAGATTTAGCGATTGTGGGAAGAGCTGCATTTAAAATCCAATCCCAGTCAGCTCTAGGAAAAATCATAGAGATTGCCTCTGAAGTGTGCACTGGTGCACATTTATTTACACAACCGTTTTCTTGCTCTTCAGGAAATGGCGGACTGGTTCAACGCCATCCGGGCCGCGCGATTCCATTACTTGCAAGTGGCGTTCCCCGGAGCCAGCGATATTGACGTGAGCTCAGCATTTCTTCTTTCTTCTTCTTGTTCCCCGGAATTATTTCTACCAATGTTTCTCAAACTTGTCAACTTCCAGATGTGTGGACTCCCAACTCCCAGAATTCCCAAGAAAGGCCAGTCCAACATGGCTGGGGAATTCTGGGAGTTGAAGTCCACACACCAGGAGAATGTCTAGATTGAACAGCAAGCTGGCTGGGGAATTCTGGGAGTTGAAGTCTACCTATGTTAATGTTGCGACCCAGTCCCAAATAGGTAGTAATCAATGCAAACAGTTCCAAAACAAACAGACTTTATTAGAACAGCTGAGAATTAACTCATTCTCAGTGTAGTCCAAACTAAATTAAAACAAACTCTTCATAACACAAATTCTTCAGTCTAATCACCAACCTTGGTATAATTAGGCAAACTGCCAAAGGCTTCTCTTGGCAAAAGTTCAGAAGCAGAAGACACCAACAAGAGATAAGTGCAGCAAGACAAGAATAAGTCTATCAACGTTGTTTTCCGACAAAGAGCCCAAGAGCTGTTGCTAGTCTTTTAAGCCATATGGGAGGGGCCAATCATCTCTTGGCCTTACTCCTGAGTTGTCCTCTTTGCTTTAGCTGGTCTTGCCTTCTGGCAGCTCTTCTCATATGTGCACTAGGAACAGGCTCCTCCTGTTCCTCTGCCTCTCTGCTGTTTTTTTTTTTTAAATTTGATTTATATGCCGCTCTTCTCCGGAGACTCAGGGCGGCTTACAATGCGTTAAGCAATAGCCTTCATCCTTTTGTATATTTATACAAAGTCAGCTTATTGCCCCCACAAACTGGGTCCTCATTTCACCTACCTTAGAAAGGATGGAAGGCTGAGTCAACCTTGAGCCTGGCGAGATTCGAACCTGCAGTAATTGCAGGCAGCTGGTCTTAATAACAGGGTGCTTTAGACCACTGTACTAACAAGGCTTTTCTGGGTGGCTTATGTGATTTTATTCTTCCTGCTGCTTCATTTCTCCAATTGGCACTGCCTCATATTTCTGATCTTCTGATCTCCTTCCTCTTCCATCATCTGAACATTTTAGCTGGTGCCAAAACTTTCAAGGAATTATCTGAAGGAAGGCTACATGGAGAAAACTGGGCCAAAGGTAAGACCAATTTAATCTTTAAGGTCAAATGCAATTGGACAATGTGGGGTGGGAAAAGAAAGTGACTTTATAAATCCTGATCTCCTTTAGTATATTGTGCACGAATCATGGGGATCTGGATTACATTTCAAGTCTCAAAATTGCTTTTTTTTTTTTCCCCAAGAGGCAACTGGACTTTCTGTTTTTTTCTTTTGAAGACGTTTCCCTTCTCATCCAAGAAGCTTCTTCAGCTCTGACTTCCATTCCTCACCATCCAAGTCAGAGCTGAAGAAGCTTCTTGGATGAGAAGGGAAATGTCTTCAAAAGAAAAAAACCAGAAAGTCCAGTTGCCTCTTGAAAAAAAAAAACACCTTTGGGACAACTGTGACCTGGATGACTGATGAATCTCCATAGACGTTACATTTCTAGGTTGGTTATTGCCTTCCTTTAAATGTTTTTTTATCAGTTCTGCTCCATAGCATGTTACGTTGTGAACTACAAAGAGATGGCTGAAATATTTCCCTTGTGCTTGTGTGCTTTGGCTAGGACAGTGGTCACTGACTGGTGGTCCGTGAACCATTGGTGGTCCGTGAGAAAATTTTGGTGGTCCGCAGAAAAATATTGCACTAAATCAGGGGTCCTCAAACTACGGCCCCTGGGCCGAATACGTGCAATGAACATTTGTGTTGCTGCAGAGAGTCTCCCCCTTTGGGGTCTTTTTGTGTGGGTCGGAGGGGGGCAGAAATTCCGATTTGGGGTCTGCTTCGGCCTCCTGGTGTGGGGCTTTGGGCGAAGGCTGGAGGGAAATGCTGCTGGTGGCGAAGAGCCGGAGGGCCTCATTCCAGTGGGACCGCATCATGGCCTGGAACTGGCTGACCATCTCAGCCCGCTGAGCCTCCAGGCGCCAGTAACTGGCCTTGCACTCCCACGGGTCTTCCCCCTGCTTGGAAAGCCTATGCTCCTAGTCCTCAGTGAGGTGCTTCTGCTGAGCCTCCTTCTCGGTCAGATCCAATTTGACCTGAGCTGTTTTGCCAACTCTTTCTCATGGTGGCTGCTTAGCTCCAACAACTGCTTCCTGTTGGGGTCCTAAGGAGCCCAGGCGGGCAGGCGAGGAGTGGCCAGGAGGGCAGGGGCGAGTAGAGGCCAGCGAGATGCCCCTTGACATGAGTGACATTGAGTTGGCCATGCCCACCCAGTCACATGACCACCTAGCCACGCCTACCCATCCGGCCATTAGGCAGATCATATTAGTGGTCCGCGGGATTTAAAATTATGAAGTTAGTGGTCCCTGAGGTCCGAAAGGTTGGGAACCCCTGCCCGAGAGTCTATTGAAAGCCTTAAAAAGGTATTTTATCATATTCAAAAGGAATTTGATTGGCAAATTTAGCTTGCCTTAGAAAGCTGATATTTCCCATATATCGTGAACCCCCAAAATAGGATCTTGGTGGATCTTGAAACAAGGGCTGACGGCGAGTAGCTTCCTTAAATGACCAAGTTATTTCTCCGCTCAACAGACCAGCTGAATATCTCCTAATAGACCATCCCATAATAGCAAGAGTAAACATTACTATCGGTTTGGGAATTTGGCTGGCTAAAACATCTTGGGATTGGAGAGGAGACGATCTCATGCTCGCCACCTTTGAAAAAAAGATTACAGCTAACCGTGTTTCTCCGAAAATAAGACCCTGTCATATTTTTTTGAACCTCGAAATAAGCGCTTGGCCTTATTTTCGGGGAGGTCTTATTATTTTGGGGCGCATGGAGCAAGACGGGGCTCCTCTTGCCGTCTTACCTGATTTCCAGTTCTGCATTTAAATATTTTTGGGGAGGACTTATTTCAGCGCGTGCGCTCAAAAGCCCGATTGGGCTTATTATCAGGGGATGTCTTATTTTTGGAGAAACAGGGTATAAATATTGTGCTTCCCAAATTCAAAATGGAGTTATTAACGTCCCTGGGGAGCCTGCATTTATTATTATAAGCTATATATCTTCTTCCCAAAAACTACAGATCGTTTTAATGGTTTTTCCTCTCTTCTTTTGATCCTTACACAATAGACTTGCAGGGTTTGATTAAGCCGAAAAATTGAGATTTTTTTAAAACCTGGGTTTCTTTCTCCAAGTCCAGATGAACATTTTCTCTGATTTCTCTGCTCTCCAGTCAGCTTCTGGAGGAGAAAACGTTTATTCCTTTTTTTTAAAAAAAAAATGCCTTGCAGTTTTTTTTTCTTTCTCTCTCTCCTAATTAAGGCGAACCGAGAAAATTAATTATTTTCTTGTTGCTGTGAGCCAAGGAGAGTTTTAATCAAGGCCTCCTCCGTCTCTGTGCTTAACCAAGTCATTAAATACAAATTTAAACAAGCCCAAGATTTGCATCAGATTTTAACTGGAGCTGTCTTTTAAAAGAAAAAGAAAAAAAAAAGAGAGAGAGAGAGAGAGAGATATTTGTATGGATTGGCCCTGTCGCTGCTAACCATTTTAATCCAATCAGCACAATCTAAATGGTGCATTGTTTTTGCAAGATGCTTCATCCCCCTCCGCCCCTTTCTCGGGGTGGGGTGGGGGGTCCCAAGGGAAATTAAAATATCAGAGCGTGGCAGAGATTCAAAAGGAAGGCAGAAGTTTAGGTTTATATTTCAATATTCAACTTTTCTGCTTCTTTCAGGCTAGGAAAACACACGCAAACACATTTCCCCAGCTGTCAGGATTCATGCAAGCATAAACCACACATACTTCCAGAACTTGGCCATAGGGACTAGAAACTTGTCTTTTAAAAAACAAAAAGATAAGCATTTTTAGGGATCTGTGGCCAGCATTGTATTCTTGCCTTTCTTCTTCTTCTTCTTCTTCTTCTTCTTCTTTCTTCTCTTCTTCTTCTTCTTCTTCTCTTCTTCTTCTTCTTCTTCTTCTTCTTCTTCTTCTTCTTCTTCTTCTCTCTCTCCTCCTCCTCCTCCTCCTCCTCCTCCTCCTCCTCCTCCTCCTCCCTTCCTCTTGATCTATAAATGCTCTTCTTCTTCTTCTCTTCTTCTTCTTCTTCTTCTTCTTCTTCTTCTTCTTCTTCTCTTCTTCTCTTCCTCCTCTCCTCCTCCTCCTCCTCCTCCTCCTCCTCCTCCTCCTCCTCCCTTCCTCTTGATCTATAAATGCTCTTCTTTCTTCTTCTTCTTCTTCTTCTTCTTCTTCTTCTTCTTCTCTTCTTCTTCTTCTTCTTCTTCTCCTCCTCCTCCTCCTCCTCCTCCTCCTCCTCCTCCTCCTCCTCCTCCTCCTCCTCCTTTTTTTGAAGCAGATAAATTGGAAGAATAATTATTACCGACTGGTTATCATAGCTGGAATTTGAACCTGTAATCTTCTTCTGTTTGATCGTAGCTCTGTGTGTTGCCTGAATACACAGACACAAATAAGCCATCGTTGTAGGCTTTTTATAACCTTGGAATCCAACCAATTGCGACTTCTTTAATAAACTCTTATTTTAGGAAACTATCAGGGCTCCGGGAGTCATGAGCTTAACCCCTTCACCTCTTCTTGATATAGTCCGAAAGAAGTAATATGAGTGCTGAATTTTTTCCCCTTTTCTTTAAATTATCTAGTTAGTTCCTACAAGTGCATCAACAAGACCATCTTTAAGGTTAAAAATATATTTTTTTAAAAAAAAAAATGAAGGAAAATAAAAGTATCTGCTTTGTATTTGAGATAAACATATTTATCGTTGGTTTATTAATAAGGTTTTCTTTCCCATTTCCTCCCTTTTAGCAAACAGAAGGGTTCAAAAAACGCTGGTTTACCATGGATGATAGAAGATTAATGTATTTTAAGGACCCTTTGGTAAGTCTCGTCTCCTCCTCCTTTCTGCAAACTCTACTCTCCTCTCTTTTTTTAAAAATTTGATTTATATGCCGTCCTTCTCCGGAGACTCAGGGCGGCTTACAATGCGTTAAGCAACAGCCTTCATTCTTTTGTATATTTTATACAAAGTCAGCTTATTGCCCCCACAAACTGGGTCCTCAATTTACCTACCTTAGAAAGGATGGAAGGCTGAGTCAACCTTGAGCCTGGCGAGATTCGAACTTACTAATTGCAGACAGCTGGAGTTAAATTACAATGCATTAGTCTGCTGAGCTATCCAGTGCTCTTCTAGCACTGATGAGGTTCTCTAGTTTGGGTCATGAAACATCTGTAAGAAAACAACCAAGCTCAGAGAGCACCAAGGACCCCACAATAATCCTCCTCCTCCTCCTCCTCCTCCTCCTCCTCCTCCTCCTCCTCCTCCTCCTCCTCCTCTCCTCCCAAAACCCTTTCCCTTCTAGCACTGATGATGCTACCTAGTTGGGTCATGAAACATCTGCAAGAGATAAGCAAGCTCAGAGAGCACCAAGGACCCCACAGCCCCCCCCTCCTCCTCCTCCGTCCTCACAACTCTTCAAATACACCAGCAGTCTTCAAATATTTGTCCAACAAGTAAACATTCTAATTCCTTTGAGTTTTTCAACTGTACGTAGGGCTTGGTTTCCATTCGCCTGGCCATCTTGGTTGTCTTCTCCAGTTCCTCAACGCCTTGCTGGATATCATATTCCAAGTGGCATCTGACCAAAGCAGGGAAGGAAGGGACAATCCGTTCTTTAATTCCTTCCACGATCAGCATTTGCCTTTTTTTAAACAGCTGCCTCGCACTCTTGGCTCTCGTTCAACGTTCGAAGTACCAGAACACGCAGATCCTTTTCACTGCCAAAACAGATCTACCCCATCTTGCAACTGGCTCTTTTTTCCCCCCCTCTGTCTAGATGCAGGACTCTCTCTTTGAGGCCAATTTCACCCTGTTGGCTGCAAGCCTCTCTAGATATTTTTTTTCCAATTTTTTTTTTTCTCTTTTCTTCTAAAATAATTATTCTGCTTTCTCTCTTCCGGTTTGAAGAGAGAGAGATTTTTTTCTTTAGATCTTACTTTAGATAGATAGAAATAGAGATAGATGGATAGATACACATAGAGGTATAGAGATTAGAGAGATAGATAGAAATAGATATAGATGGATAGATACACATAGAGGTATAGAGATTAGATAGATAGAAATAGAGATAGATGGATAGATACACAGAGAGGTATAGAGATTAAGAGATAGATGGATAGATACACAGAGAGATATAGAGATTAGATAGAAATAGAGATAGATGGATAGATACACATAGAGATATAGAGATTATTATTTATTTATTTATTATTTTTATTTTATTAAATTTCTATACCACCCTTCTCCCGAAGGACTCAGGGCAGTGAACAGCCAGAAGATAAAACACAAGAATACAAAATTTAAAATAAATTAAAACGAATTAAATAATTTAGGCTGGATTTTAAAATACCCCATAATTAAACAGATTAACATTTATGTTTAAAATTTAAATTAAAAAGAGGAGATGATTTAGGCCAGGCCAGCTTGATGAAATAAAAACAATTAGATTAGATAGAAATAGAGATAGATGGATAGATACACAGAGAGGTATAGAGATTAGAGAGATAGATAGAAATAGAGATAGATAGATACACATAGAGATATAGAGATTAGAGAGATAGACAGACAGACAGATAGACAGACAGAAAAATAAACTAGGGCTTACTTTTGGGATAGGTCATATTTTTGGGAAAATGGTAGGTAGGTATAGCGATAGATAAAGATAGATACATAGAGATAAGTAGAGATATATAGATATAGATGAAAGAGAGAAAGAGAGAAGAAAGAAAGAAAGAGAAAGAAAGAAAGAAAAGAAGAAAATATTTTTTTCCCTCCTAATCGTGACTGTTCATGGAGCCCCAGTTGAGAAAGGGAAGGGAAGGATGATTGGTTTGGGCTTCAGATCTTGTCTCCGTTGTTAATTTTTGCAGGAATAAAAAACCCCAGGTTAATCCTTCCACTCCTTTGTAAACACGGAGTCCTTCTGTTTTGTCCTCTACTCAGGATGCTTTCGCCAGGGGAGAGGTTTTTATTGGGAGTAAAGAAAACAGTTACAAGGTCCTGGAAGGGCTCCCACCGTCAACCCAGGGAAATCACTATCAGTACGGAATTACCATCATCACCCCTGACCGGAAGTTCCTCTTTGCCTGTGAGACCAAAAGCGATCAGCTGGAGTGGATCTCCGCTTTTCAGAAACTGATCAACAGGCCAATGCTGCCGCAGGAATACGCAGGTGAGGGGGAGGAGCCATCGCTCGTACGATATTTGACGGAAGCCTTCATCAAAACTGGAATTGGCGCCGTTGTAATCTCAGTCACTAAACAAACCGTTGTAAGTCAAGGACTACCTGTCTTTGGTAAAGAGGCTGTCAGGGTTCCAAGTAATATACCCGTAGCAAACAAAACTCCGAGGCAGGTAGATTCCTCAAAGAATACCTTTATTGGATATGTCATATTGGCACAGGCTGGTGGAAAACCGACTTTGAATATTCCCGCGGTTTTCCACCTAATTAAAAGTGAAAGTTTGCCACTTTCTCAAAACGGTCGGTCACATGGTCCAATCAGGATACAGTCCAGTTGCTAGGTGACTCCAATCCCCTCCTTCTGAGCACCTGCAGGAACGTCCTTGGTTTCCATGAGAAAGTATTTTGTTTTGGCTACAACACCTCAACTATCTATTCGCCCCCTCCCTGTCCCTCTTCTCCGTGTCAGCGCTGAATTCTCAAAATGGCCTCGGTCAGGTCAGCTTCAGGGCTGACAAACAGCTTCTTTGATGATATAATTATCAAATGATTATATGAGGGGGCGGGACACACCCTCGGACGGGGTAACGGTACTTAACTTGTTGTTTGTCTTGCAACAGGCCTCACTGGAAATATGAAGGGGGAGGGGCCGGATGTCAGCACTTCAAACTACATTCGTTCCAGTGCTGACATAAGGAGGAGAAGAGGGGGCAGCTGGCAAGAGGACGCTTGACTTTTCACCTACTTATTTTCCCTGAAGATAATATCCCCTAGGAGATGGGTTGGGAGGGGGGACATTCCTGGGAGCTGAAGTAGTAGATATGGGGAGAGTGATTTGGAAGATGGCCAATGAGACACAGAGAATTGGGGAACGGAAAGGGAAGGTTTGGGGTCAGGAAGTCACTGTTGGCTACGACTTAATCGGGGACAGATTGTCGTGCTTAATAAATGAAAGATTTCATCAAAGACTATTTGTTTGGAAATGCAATTTATTTGAGACGACATCGAAACCTGACATCTTTCTTCTTTTGTTTGTGTCTTTCCTTTCCAGTGGAAGCCCATTTCAAGCATAAACCCTAAGTGACGACGTCGAAGCAAGATTAGTTTACAACGCACCAGGACGTTGGTTTTGTTGTTAAGTTTTTGTTTGCCGAGGCTAGCAATGACCAAAAAGAAAAAAGAAAAAGAAAAGAAAACGTAATTTATATGAATTAGTGAATCCTCTTAGACCACAAGATGGGAGGTGCAATTCAAATGCTTGAGCTGCGGATCATGATGCTGTCCGTCCAAAGGAGACCGAAATCACAGGCAACAGCACTTTTCTGAGAATGTCGTTCTTGAACACTTACGGGTGAATAACCTGGGCACACTAGTTAAAAAAAATTGTGTCTGACGTTTTGGAAGAATCCTGTCGCAATGTCCTTTTTCTTTTTCTGAATTTCTTTTTCTTTTTTTAAACAGAACATAAAACAAATCCATCATCCATTACAATTGCGAACAGTGGTTGTCAGTCGGTTACAAATCTTTGGTGCTTCATCCCCCGTATTCAGAATGTACTATTTCCTTTCTTTTCTTTTCTTCTGTTTGGCTCTTGGCTGGGCTATTATGGTTATATCCTTGTGCGGAACATGTTCCAAGAAGATTCACGTTCAGAGATTGTGGCAGTACCTAGAAACCGTCGTTGGAAGGTACCGGTCGTGATGCAGAAACTCTGGTCTGGGAGTAGGCAGGAGGAACGGGAGGAGGGAAGATAGAAAGAGGTTGTACGTGATGAAATTTGGACAATGGACTTCCGTTATCTTGCTGTCAAATACGTGGTGGCATCATCTAATGCAGTGTTTCTCAACTTTGGTACCTTGAAGATGGGTGGACTTCAACTCCGCTGCTGGCTGGGGGATTCTGGGAGTTGAAGTCCACCCATCTTCAAGCTTCCAAGGTTGAGAAACACTGATCTAATGCATCCATTCCGCTGGCCCAGCCTTAAAAGAATAATAGAGTTGGAAGGGACTTTGGAGGTCTGTTAGTCCAATTCTTGCTCAAGCATCTTATACTATTTCAGACGAATGGCTGTCCAATCTCTTCTTAGAAACTCTCCAATGATGGAGCACCCACAACTTCTGAAGGGCAAGCCCTTCCACTCATTCATTGTTCCACTTGTTCTCTGGGAACGTTGCTAAACTTAACAAAATCAGGGAGCAATGACCCCCTCCTCCTCAACACCTCTTGAAGATGTTTGATGCGGAGAGGTTGGGTTTAGCTCTTTTTTGGGGTTGTTTTGCTTCTTGTCACGTTGTGATGCTTGAAGGACCGACCCTTATCGTGACATTTGAGCAGGAAGGGACAAGCTAAGAAGGAGATGCAAAAAAAAAAAAACAGCCTCTCAATTTTGGACCGGGACAGATCTGCATGACTCAATAAGGAACTGAAAAAAGCTAGATTTCCCCATCTTTGAACTCTGCAGGAGCATCCATGCTACTGTCCCCAAAAGGTCAAGATGGTAGCTGTGATGGAACATCGCGAGCATTATCCTTGCTCAGAAGAATTCACGATATTCTTCTTAGAAGAATTCAGGATATTGTCACCCAACCACCACGGCCAAGCTGATGAACCGGGACAAACTTTTGCCAGTTGTCCTTTGACAATAGGCCAGCCATGAGTGAACTTCTGCAAAGCAGTGATTAAATGCACACAAAAGCACTAAGCTATGATTTGCTTCATCTCGGTTTAAAGACTTAAGCCACCTTTGAGTTTGCATCCTACGCGAAGCCTAGCACAAACCCAACTCAATTCATGGCGGAGTTGGATGGTTTTCACTACTTTCGATGTCAGAAGTGACTTTTCCAAGAAGACACCAAAGCTAACAACAACAAGAAGAAGCCTTTAATCCATGGGTGGGCAATGAATTTTCCCAAGATGCCACAGGAGAAATTAGGCCTGTTGTGGAGGGCCAAACCAATTGGACTGAAGGTGTGTAGATAATTTTTTTTTTAAAAAAAAAGTTGGTGTCTTCAAAATGAAAGCAATGCAGCAATTTTGCATGCCCGGCGTACACTTATTTACACATTTGATTTCCAATTTTGGATTGATCTTCCCGTGGGGTGGACAGCGACAACCGAAAGGGCCAGACGTGGCCCAGGGGAGCCGTAAGATACCCAGGTCTGCTCAACCTCAAACAAAGCATCCGTTAAAAACCGTTCATTCGTAAAACCGCTTAAAGACTAAACCCAGCGCAAGTAGCCACAAGTTAGAAAGCAAACCATGGTTTGATTCAGAGCTCCGTTAGCTTCAATAGGCAAGAGATTTCCTGTGATGGTTTGTTTGTTTGTTTGTTTGTTTTTTGGCAAGTGGGAGCTATTTAGGAGTTTGCTGCACGAGGACTATCGTTGACTAATATGGGATTTTAATTTTACTTCTATTTTCATCGTGTTTAAGCCACCCGGCAACCGATTCGCGCCTCTCTCTCCTCTAAAGCCAGATTCCCACCGTTCGTAGCCATTACTTTGTATGATTGTCTATTTATACTGACTGACTCAGCAGGTTAATTCACCCTTTGGCTGAAACCTCCTAGTTTCTCATCTTCTGGATGTAAGATTATATTAATTCTTGCTCCTCCGCAGGCTCAGCTCTTACCTTCACAACTTTTTTGACAAGTCAGGTACAAAAGAATTCTTCTGAAGAGTCCAGGACTAGGTTTTCCTGCATCTGAAGACACAGTCTGGATTTAAACCGGTTTCTTCCAATGTTTCTGTAAGACCAGGTTTGTCTGTCTCGTGCGTTACGTTTGTTAAGTTTGATGGTTAAGACAGTTGTGGTACTAACTATCACCCACACCAATAAATTATTATCCTGTTGGCTTGATCAAGGCGTGTCTGATTAAGTTCAGGGTGGGGGGAAAAAAAATTAAAGAGTTTCTTACGGTTTTCTCGTTGTGCAATATTTGAAGCTTATTTTTTTTTAAAAAAGTTAAAATGAGGAAGAGCATCTTTAAAGCCACTTAAGATTTATTTTTAGAATGGAAAATTCTCCGCTTCCAAGAAAGCAGGCAGTGAAAAAATACAAATGAACTCATATGAAGATGTGACGGACACCTTCCTTAAAAAAGTGAACTTGGGAAATAAATAAAATACCCACTAGTGTCGTAGGCAGAGAAAACCATGGTTGTAGTTACTGCAAGGGAAGTACACGGAGAAAAGTTAGGTGCATTTTGTGTATGTCAATAGTTGTGACCTGTTGGGCCATGGCACACTTCTAAGTCCATCAAACCAATTGACTCAACTCGAAACCTCTAAGATAGAGGTGTGTCCAACCTTGGCAACTTTCAGAGTTGTGTGTCCTATTCCCAGAATTCCCCAGTGGCAACTTCCCTGCTGTAAAACAGAGTAGAGTAGAGTAGAGTAGAGTAGAGTAGAGTAGAGTAGAGTAGAGTAGAGTAGAGTAGAGTAGAGTACAGTAGAGTACAGTAGAGTAGAGTAGAGTAGAGTACAGTAGAGTACAGTAGAGTAGAGTAGAATTTTATTGGCCAAGTGTGATTGGACACACAAGGAATTTTCTTGGTGTATACACTCTCAGTGTACATAAAAGAACAGATACCTTCGTCAAGAATCATAACACTTAATGATAGTCATAGGGAACAAATAAGCAATCAAATCATATTAGGAAACAATATTGTTATAACAATCAAGAGCCTCGGTGGTGCAGCGGACTAAGTGCTATTAAGTGCTAGCACTTAGCTGCCAGCTGCCTGCAATTAGTGCGAGTTCAAATCTCACCAGGCTCAAGGTTGACTCAGCCTTCCATCCTTTCGAGGTAGGTAAATTGAGAACCCGGATTGTGGGGGCAATAAGCCAGCTTTGTATAGAACAACACCGCTTAAGGGGAGCCGAAAGCCCTAATAAGCAGGTATATACATAAAAGTATGCAGGCTATTGCTATAATGCATTCTAAGCCGTCCTGAGTCTACGGAGAAGGGCGGCATATAAATTGGACTAATAAATTGGTCCATAAATTGGACTAATAAATAATAAATAAATAAATAAAAATCGTAAGGATACCAGCAACAAGGTTACAGTCATACAGTCATAAGAGGAGATGGGTGATAGGAGCGTTGAGAAGATTAATAGTAGTGCAGACTTAGTAAATAGCTGTTGAGGGGAGTGATGGCGTTGGGGAAAAAACTGTCCTTGTGTCTAGTTGTTCTGGTGCGCAGTGCTCTATAGCGTCATTTTGAGGGTAGGAGTTGAAACAGTTGATGTCCAGGATGCGAGGGGTCTGTAGATATTTTCACAGCCCTCTTTTTGACTCGTGCAGTAGACAGGTCCTCAATGGAAGGCAGGTTGATGCTTGATTAAGGTCAACAGGCCAGATTCTCCTGTGATCAACCGGGCAGTTTGATCAAGTTCTTTTAACAGGCTCTTCGTGTGTTTCGCCACACGTCTTTCGCAACTCCATCACTCCCCAGGAAACGTGTCGCAACCTCTAGAGGAAGTACCATTTCATTGGTTTGCAAGAGCCATCTACAAGTCCTTCCTTAGAAGAGAGTAACTGTGGTTCAGGGTTGAACTGTGGAGGCTCTACGGTGCTTTCTTCCTTTTTCCCCTGTACTTATTTGTCAAATGTACGGAGCTGCCCTTGTCTCATAAAACAAAGGACTCCAGTGAAAGAGAGGCTCTAAGGAGGTGATAAGGAGAACCTCAAGAGATAAAACCATCAGGCCCTTCCGGAGGTTGGTTAGGTGGCTGAAGCAATCTTCTTTGGGCAACTGTATGGAGAAGTCAGCTCTTGCCAGCACCCATCTTGAAAGGGAACACCGAGGGGAGCTAGGCTGAAAGAAACTTGAAAGATCTAATTTAACTGAAAGAGGATGAACGTTGACCGTATCACACTCGGCAACAGCACTTGCTTATATACCGCTTCAAAGTCTTGGTTATTTTTAATAGCAATAGCACTTAGACTTATATACTGCTTTGCAGTGTTGAAAGCCCTCCCTAAGCAGTTTACAGAGTCAGCCTATTGCCCCCAACAATCTGGGTCCTCATTTTAACCAACCTCGGAAGGGTGGAAGGCTGAGTCAACCTTGAGCCGGTCAGGATCGAACTCCTGGCAGTGGGCAGTCAGCCTGCAATACTATATTCTAATCCCTATGCCACCAGGGCTCTAGAATAGGAATAGGAATAATAGAAATAGCACTAGCAATGGCACTTAGATTTATATACCGCTTCACTCGGCTTTGCAGCCCTCTCTAAGCAGTTTACAGAGTCAGCCTATTTTCCTCCAACAATCTGAGTCCTCATTTTAATGACCTAGGAAGGATGGAATGCTGAGTCAACCGGTCAGGATCGAACTGCTGGCAGTGGGCAGAGTTAGCCTGCAATACTCCATTCTAACCACTGTGCACCATGGATGGATGGATGGATAGATGGATGGAAGGAAGGAAGGAAGGAAGGAAGGAAGGAGGTAGGTAGGTAGGGAAGGAAGGAGGGAGGGAGGGAGGGAAGGAGGGAGGGAAGAAAGAAGGAAGGAAGGAGGGAGGGAGGGAGGGAGGATGGAAGGAAGGAAGAAAGGAAGGGCAACAGCAATAGAAATAGCCATAGCACTTAAACTTATATACTGCTTCACAGGGCTTTGCAGCCCCCTCTAAGCGGTTTACAGAGCCAGCCTATTTCCCCCCAACAATCTGGGTCCTCATTTTACCGACCTTGGAAGGATGGAAGACTGAGTCAACCTTGAGCCGGTCGGGATCGAACTTCTGGCAGTGGGCAGAGTTAGATTGCAATAATGCATTCTAACTACTGCCCCATCATGGTTAGTTAATCGACTTCACAGCATCTTAAAAGACAAGACTGCCGTCGGTCGCTCTAGTCTAGGGCAAGGTTTCTCCAAACCCTGCAACTTTTTAAGACTTTTATTAAACTCCCAGAATTGCTCAAGTCACAGCCATGCTGGCTGAGGAATTCTGGGAGTTGGAAGCCCGCAAGTCTTTAAAGTCGCCAAGTTTGGCGAGGCTTGGTTTAGGCAGGGCATTAGAAAAATTGGGGACTTTTAAACGCGGCAAATGCAGATTTAAAGTAAATAATGATAGTCCAACCCCCTGCTTAGGCAGGAAACTCTACACCACTTCAGACAAATGGTTATCCAACATCTTCTTAAAAACTTCCAGTGTTGGAGCATTCGCAACTTCTGGAGGCAAGTAGTTCCACCGATTAATTGTTCTCATGGTCAGGAAATTTCTCCTTAGTTCTAAGTTGCTTCTCTCCTTAAATGAATTTCCACCGATTGCTTCTTCTCCAGCCTTCAGGTGCTTTGGAGAATAGCTTGACTTCCTCTTCTTTGGGGCAGCCCCTGAGATGTTGGAAGACTGCTCTCATGTCTCCCCTGGTCCTTCTTTTCATTAAACTAGACATACCCAGTTCCTGCAACCGTTCTTCATATGTTTTAGCCTCCAGTCCCCTAATCCTCTTGGTTGCTCTTCTCTGCACTCTTTCTAGAGTGCAGAGTGCTTCCATATCTAGCTAATGTTCTTGTTTCCCCCACCAGAAAGGACCAGATCAGATGCGTAAAACAAATGGGGATCTTTTGCAGGGAGTGATTCTCTGAATAGGGGTTTTTCCCCCCAATACCGGTAGGGCAAAAGCTGAAAACTGCCTTCCGTGCCATATTTAAAAATCTGCACCATCCTCAAAATGTTCTTTGCTGGCTGTCAATGATCTTCCAGCTTTATGATGGGCTTCCTTTTTTAAAACGCCGAGACTTAAAAGCAGAAACTTTTTTTCCCCTCTATATTCAAAAGGATCCTGAACTGTGATCCAGCCAGCCGTTACAAAACTGAACGGGTTTTCCTCCCCGTTTTTTTTTTTTTTGGGCAAAACCCCTCCAGTTTCACGCTTGCACAATTGACACACAGCGGACCGAGGGAAACGAACCACGTTCAAGGTCAGTGAAAGTTTGGTTCGTTCTGGTGAAAAGGACTAAAAAGGAGGCGGGGAGAAAAAAGGAACCGGATCACATCATCGTCTCTTCGTTCTCGTTGACCAATTAGGAGCCTGGCTTTGGGTGGGTTTGTTCCTGAAGATGTCACGAAGGCCTTTTGTTTCCAAGTGGGGGAAAAAATAATATCTATATATCTATATATCTGAGCTTCAGCACCACCTAGTGACTTAAACTAAAGCAGGAAAATTAAATCTGGGTGCCGAATGGAGAGATTTGGCTTAGGGGCTGCAAAGTTGCCTATTTTCCTACAGCTGCTAAACATCAATCGAGAAACAAGGAGAGAAAAACGAATTCAAATCCGCGATTTTACCATAAAATAGGTTTGCGGATTGCTAGACTACTGCAATTGATACATTTATCTACTATATGCTGTCAAAAGCGAGCTGCTGGCTTCTGTGTCTTTAACGCTGCATTAGTCCTTCTACTTATTCTCCTTTGTTAGGGACTGTTCCTGGTTATGACGACACCGGAGAAAGTGACTTACAACCACAGCCCTCACACTTGTAATTTTCTCCATGGTCACACAATCGAAACCCAGGGGCTTGGCAACTGTATTTAGGACCATTGCTGTGTCCCAAGATCACATGATTCCCTTTTGCGACCTTCTGACAAGAAAAGTCAGTGAGGAAGCCACAACGCGGTTTACTTATTAAGTGGTTCATTTAACAACGGAGGCCAGAAAAAGCCGTACAATGGGGCAAAACCCACTTAACAAATGTCTCGCTCAGCAACATAAATTTTGGGCTCAGCTGGCATCGTAAGTCAAGGGCTAGGTTTAAAAGTTGGTAGGACAATCATCGTCTTTCAATGACCCCCATAATCCCTTGCTGGGTGGAGTCTGGGCAACTGAATGGAGTGTTTACTGGCCGGATGCCCAACCTGTCGCCAGTGCGGAGTTTTGTTCAGCAGATATAATCTCAACGTGTCCCGAGAGAGAAATATCTGCCTCTCCCTAGGATCGAACTCACAGCCTCCCGATTGTCAGGCAAGAGTTCCACCTCTAGGCCACCGTATCACTCAAAAGCTGATAGGACAAAGGCTTGAGAAAAATAAGATCTGGCAGAAAGATCCCCGACAGTTGAAATCATAGCCAGCTACCGCAGAAAATAAAAGAATCATGGTTTTAAGGCTCTCATACGAGACCTGTAAAATACAAGTGATGCTTAGCCATGCTCCCCAGGTAAGAGCAGCACACATCCGGTATAAAGTATTTATTTTATACTCAACAATTAACACAAATCCATCTTTTTTGTTTTGTTTTGTTTTTTTACAGTAAATAAAAACGTAATATTCCCCTTTCATGCATGATCGCCGTATTAATCTAAGCCTTTTTTTTTTTTAAATGTGAAAATATAAAACGTCCCCTCCTCCATTTTTTTCTTTCTTTCTTTCTTTTTTTTTGTAATTGTACGGTTTAAACTTCTGGTGTCGATGTGCGTTAACGGAGACGAGGATGTTAAAAAGAGTTACACGAAGCCCGTTACGAGGGGTTTGGTAAGCTAACTTGTCGTTTTTTTTTCTTTTGCACACGAAGGGTTAAAAATGGATCAATGGATCATCCCGTCAAAATAAATAATCTAAAAGGTCTGCAGATCCCCTTCACCTAAGGATCCCTCTTCGCTTCTAATATGTGCATGCTTTCTTCGCCAGCCAAAAGGGAGTGATTTAGTATTATTTTTTCGGAAGCAGGGCTGCAGATTGCTGGATGTTCGGACTAAACAACCGTCTTTCTAGGAAAATAACAGGATTTTAGCTGCAGTTCATACCCTTAGAAGGCTGAAAATTCTCCTTTGACTATGCCTTCCACAAGTTGGGGTTAAATGACATATTTTTTTTAATAGAAAATTTACATTGCCCCAAGTTATGCTCGGCCTGTTCCTTGCTATAATTTACTCAAATGTATCATTTCCCAACCCCCTCCCCCTTTACAATGGATATGAATTTGGTGTAAGTCCTTGTTTTTTTTCTTTTTCAATTAGTAGCAATTTTTTCTTTGGCTCATCTGAAAATTCATTATTATTATTACTACTACTACTACTATTTTGGCACCAGTCTACGGGATGCCTTCATGAGCAGCAAACTGCCTGAATTTTCAACAACAACTCCACCACATTTTTCCTTCTTCCCCTCCCCTCCTTTGACAATCAAAAGTCCTTAATTGGTGAATTGGCTGGAATGAAACGGTAGCCTTTGGGAAAAATATATATACCGTATATATATGTATATATTATATATATAAAGCAACCAATGTGTGTTCTGGTTTTATTTCGTGGGCCTGGAAAGAGGAGGGAAATACTGCTCAGAAAACCACAGAGAAGGCGCGCCTTTTTCAGTCTGCTGCCGGCGTTCAAAAAAGTCCGCTAATGATCGCAACAAAATCCGTTTTTTTTCTCTCTCCTGCCTATCCCCAGCGCATTGGGTTGTGGGTTTTTTTTGTTTTTACATAAATAATATAGACCAAAACATTATGAACATCTCAGCAAACCTTCTTCTTTTAAACATAACAGAGGTGGCCCCCTTGAATCTGACGAGGAACGACCGCAGGATTCGTCCCCAATGTCTCTCTCTCTTTTTTTGTTTTGTTTGTTTTCGTTTCGTTTTGTCGTCGTCGTCGTCATCGTGGGAGTCTCGGGTGAGCACGTGGTCTGGATTCCAAGGGATTCAAGGAGGATCTCAATCCAGCTCGATGGGGCTGCTGTTTTCCTGCTGCTCTTCTTCCGTTTCCTCCTCTTCCCCGGCTACCATGAGGCTGTTTAAAAGATTGCCTAAGGGAGGGAATCACAGGACAAGGAAGGAAACCCAAAAGCTTTAGGGGATGCTCACTGGATGATGGGCCCAGGGTGGAAATTCACCCAGATGTTACCTTAAGACGGAGGGCCTCTAAATCAGGGGTGAAATGCTCCAGGTTCGGACCGGATCGCCCGATCCGGTAGCGATGGAGGCGGGTGGTTCGGAGAACCGGTAGCAAAAACCCCTGCGCCTCCCCCCATGCCCAGCTGAGCCGCACAATCATCAGAGGCTTTTTTTTTTTACTTTTAAAAGCATTTTTTCTACAAACTCTTTGGCCAAAAAATGCTTTTAAAAGTAAAAAAAAAAGCCTCTGATGATCGCGCGGCTCAGCTGGGATTGTCAAAGGCTTTTAAAAGAAAAAAAACCCCTTTATTTCTTTTAAATGCCTCTAACGATCCAAACTGAGTTGCCTGATCGTCAGAGGCATTTAAAAGAAAAAAAAAGTCTGCTGATCAGGCAACTCAGCTGGGATCATCAGAGCCTTTTGAAAGCATGTTTTTACAACCTCTTCACTGGAATTTTTCCATCCCACCCCTGGATAACACCATTTAATTAAAAGGAGCCAAGGAGAGGGGACCAACCATCCAGGAGGAAGAGGTATTTTTAAACTCACACAAAAGATCTCCATTTGGATCTACCCATTGCTGCCCTCCCCATGCCAACAAGAAAGCCATTAGAGCGAAAAACAAGCTAATTCCCCCCCCCTTCTTCTGGAGACAAGAAGGTTTATCCTGAGTCTTCAACTCACCTAATAGTCCTCCGTAGGATGACGTTTGTTTTGGGGGGACACCGAAGAAGAGCTGTCCTATTCTGTCTAGGTACTGAAGGAAGCACAGGGGGAAAAGAAACGTTACTCGTGGCTCATCTTAGGCGCCGTGTACTAAGCCAGGCCCAATGCTCTGTCTACAGGATATAATTACTTGTCATTAACATTTGCTGGGATGTCGACCATGGTTCAATGTTGCTCTGGGACAGTGATGGTTAACCTTTTTGCTGCCGAGTGCCCAAAGCACGTGCGTGTGCGCGAACCCCCAAAATGCAATGCGAGCGCCCACACGCAAATGGGGCATGGTAGGGCAAGCACGCAAACCCCCAAAATGCAATGCGAGCATCCCAGTGCATGTGCACCGCCCTCCGCGACGGAGAGCAGAAGACCAGCTGGCTGGCGGGAGGTGCGCACACATGTGTGGTGCAGCTGGGCTGGGGTAACGGCTGGCGTGCCCGCAGAGAGGACCCTGCGTGCCACAGATTCACCATCATGGCTCTAGGATCTCCAGACACTTCTCCTCTACAAGTGGAGGGTTGATTTTAGAGAAGGGACTGCTGGGATGGGAATGGCAACCTGAATTCATTATTCAGAGTCCAAAACAACCTGGAGACACACCATTCTTCACTAGTAAGAGGTTGCAAAGAAGGGAGATTCTCACTGTGCAGAAAAGGTCTTTCTCAGGGATGAGGCACAGCCTCTAAATTACTCCCCGGTGGAAGAGCTGCGTAGCCTCCCACATCTTCAAACAGTTTCTCTCAGGAATACGAATAGATACGGGGGTCCTTGGTGCTCTCTGAGCTTGGCTGTTTTCTTGCAGACCAGATAACATCATCTGGGTTAGAAGGCAGTGGGGTTTGTGGAGAGGAGGAAGAGGAGGACTGTGGGTGTTTTCTAAGCTTGGCTGTTTTCTTGTTGGCATTGGCATCCTTCAGCCTCAAGAGACTATGGTGTCGTGCTCTGGAAAGAGGTCCTAAAACAGCATCTAGTGTGACTAAAAAGGCCAATTCGAGAGTGGCAATCCCTTCCACCCTGAGGGCAGATCCATTCTGTCCCCTGCCCAGCCGCCAGATTTCGCTGGTTCCGGGACTGCCTCTTTGCCTCGGCCTGCCGAACAAGTGTCTCTTCGAATTGGAGAAGGCCAGGCTGCGTCTTTGGCCTCCAAGCTGAACGATCGGAGGTCAAGGTTTCCCAGTTATTAATGTCCATTCCCAGGGCCTTTAGATCCCTCTTGCAGATATCCTTATATTGCAGCTGTTTTCTTATAGAAGTTTCATTATTAAACTAGGTAACATCATCTGTGCTAGAAAGGAACGGGGTTTGCTCTCCAATTTTCCCACTCCCTTCTAGCCCGGAAGATGTTACCTAGTAGGGTAATAAAACGTCTTAGCCCAGAGAGCACCAGGGACCCTACAGTGAACCCTGAGCTGCAAATATTCTATCAGTTGTTTGAATAGATCCCCAGAGTTTATGAAGGTCTTGTTTTTTAAACAAACCTGCACGTTACTTGTCTGTTTCCATCCCATGTTGCCATTGCGTAACTAGCTGGGAGTCGCACCCTCATCAGATTAAAATACGGGCAGAGAAATAAAGGGGGGGGGGGAATGTGAAAAACAGACAATCCCGCTTGGGATAAAACTTACTTCGTTATACATGGGATCCCGTTTCAGCGAAGGCTGATATTGTTCGCACAATACTGTAAATACGGTCAGCTTTCCTCTAAAAGAGAAGAGACAGCCAACACACAGAGACACTTGTGAAACTTGAAGAGTTCAAAAAAAAAAAAAAAAAAAAAAAGAAGAAGGAAGGGCGTGTTTGGCAGCTCTGTGAAGCGCTTACCCGTCAACCGCCAGCAGCAGAAACCAGATGAAGTTAAGCAAGGGCTGTACAAAGGGGGGCCCGCTTTCTATGGAAGGATGCTTCTCCGTGTACGTCGTGAAAACTACCAGGGCGCTGGTTTTGTTTTTCAAGCAGAGGAATCTGAAACCGGAAACGAAGGACACAACTAATTAAGTGGGTCTGTGGGGAGATTCTCTGTCCTTCGGGTCACAGTTGTCTCAAAGAGGCTGGTGGTTTTTTTTTCAGGAGGAGGAGGAAGAGAAAGAGGAGGAGGAGAAAGAGGAAAAGGAGGAGGACAAGAGGAGGAGGAAGAGAACAAGGAGGAAGAGGACAGGAGGAATAAAAGGAGGAGGAGGGGAGGAGTAAAAGGAGGAGAAGAATGAGGAGGAGGAGAAGAGGAGTAAAAGGAGGAGGAGGGGAGGAGTAAAAGGAGGAGGAAGAGGAGGAGAAGAATGAGGTGGAGGAGGAGAGGAGAAAGAGGAGGAGAAAGAGGAAAAGGAGGAGGACAAGAGGAGGAGGAGGACAGGAGGAGTAAAAGGAGGAGGAGGGGAGGAGTAAAAGGAGGAGAAGAATGAGGAGGAGGAGGAGAAGAGGAGAAAGAGGAGGAGGAGGGAGGAGTAAAAGGAGGAGGAGGAGAAGAGAGGAGAAGAAAGGAGGAAAAGGAGGAGGACAGGAGGATGAGAACAAGGAGGAAGTGGTGGAGGACAGAAGGAGGAAGGGGACAGGAGGAGGAGGAGGAGAAAGAGGAGACAAGGAAGAGAAGTAGTAGCAGTAGTAGTTGTTTCACTTCTCATCCAATAATTCTTGGATGAGATGAGAAACATCTTCTTCTTCCTCAAGGAAAAAAAAACTCCAGTCTAGATGCCTTCTTGGAAAAGCATCTTTGCGACAACTATTAAAGGAGACCAAAACAGCTTCTAGAGAAGGTTGGTTGGAAGATAAAATCAAATTTCTTACAGGCCGATGGCCAAAGAGTTGAGGGCGAGAAACAAATGGTCAACCCATGCTTTGATTCAGTCATAGCAGATCAAGGACGACAGTTCCGGCTGAAAGATCCAAGATCAGAAAGGAACACCTACTGTAACACAGCTTGAGCTACAAACATGTCCACTTCGCTGCGATATCCCTTGGCGGAGGAATATTCTACCAACATATTTGCGCAACCTTCCCCGTCTGTGGAGTGCAGGAAGTGATAGCGAGATTCACAATAGTTCTGCTCTAGAAGAAAAGTGACATGAAAGAAAGGTCAGCTTGGGATGGGTGCTTCTTCAGCAGAACCACCGAAGGAATGTCTTGATGGGTTCACGCCTTGCGGTAAGCCCAACCGGCTTCCCACGCTGCGTGAGGGGCAGCCGTTGGGGTCCATCCATTATGGTTTCTTGGCATGGCACGAGCATCCAATCACTTCTGGGTTATGGAACAAACCGAAGTCAGGTTACAACTGAGGTCACTATTTTTATGGTCTATTTTACTTTGGAAAAAATACAGCGAGAAGTCTGAATCAGGTAAAAATGTGTAAGTGTGCCACAGAAAATGTACCCTATTTTTCGGACTATAAAGACGCACCGGTGTATAAGACGCACCAAGATTTTGAAGAGATAAGCAACAACGAAAAAATAGTTTTTGCCCTCCCCGGCCCCTAGGAGCACTCTGCAGGCCTCCCAAACCCTCTGCGTGTCCCGTTTTTCACAAAACCGGGGCGTGCAGAGGGTTTGGGAGGCCTGCAGAGTGCTCCTGGGGGCTGGGGAGGGCAAAAATGCGACGTGTGGGGGCCAAAACCGGGATGTGTAGGGCGGAGCTTCGGGAGGCCAAAAATGGCTGTATTCGGTGTATAAGGTGCACCAACATTTCCACCCTCTTTTAAGGGGGGAAAAAGGGTGTTTTATACTCCGAAAAGTATGGTAATTTTATATTTTAATTTTTGGGTTCTTGTAAGTATACAGGATGCTTCTTTTGACTTAGGTCAGGGGTCAGCAACCCGCAGCTCTGGAGCCATATGTGGCTCTTTCATCCCTCTGCTGCGGCTCCCTGTCGCTCAAAAAATGCATCACAACTGCCAATGTGCGACACCCGCCAATGCACAATTTATTAAGCTTTTTGACCCCCCCGGTAGGCCAACCATGGATAAATCCAAGAAAAGAAAAGTTTCAGAAGAAAACAGAATCTTTAATTCAACTATATATGCTAGTTTTGTGGCCGCTCAGAAAATAGTCAGGCACGGGAAGGGTTTTGTGGCTCCCGGTGTTTTCTTTTCTGTGGGAAACGGGTCCAAAGGGCTCTCTGAGTGTTTAAGGTTGCTGACCCCTGACAGGGTTAGCAAAATGGTTGAAGGTCCCTCCCTCTAAATTAGTGTTTCTCAGCAACTTTAAGATGTGTGGGCCTCAACTCCCCAGCCAGTAGAGAAGGAATTTTTAAGATGTAGGGACCTCAACTCCTTAAAACTGATCTCAGAAGCAGCCTCATGGGGGCAGATGTTCCCTCACCCAAGATCCATTGCTGTGTGCAACTCTTAAGGGTATAAACCAGGCACATTGCAAGAGTAAGCAGCTCAACTCGGGATTCCCACCTTTCCATAACGTGATAGCCAACAACTGGTGTAGTTTTGGATGTCCCAGCTTCCCCGATCCACCGCTGGACCACTTCAGGGCTCTGGACACAAAAGCTACTCTTTCGGGCGAGTTTTGATCCATCAGACTGAACATTTTTGCCAGGTTCTCTAGAGGCAAGTCAAAGAGGCAAGGCTTAGGACAAACAACACTGAGGTGATTAGACTTAGAAAAAAAAATAGACAAATCTTTAAATAATGTAGCAATCACACACATCCCAATTCCCACAGATGCAAGACTGAAGCTAGTCAGGATAGCTACGGATGCGGTGAGAGGTGGCATTCCGGTGAATTAAAAGGGAGAAAATAGTGAAAGGACAATTCACCATTAAAACAGCTCATGTGAGACTTTTTAAGAGAAATATTTCTCAACACTGGAAGCTTTAAAATGGGTGGACTTCAACGCCCAGAACGCTGACTGAAGAATTCTGGGAGTTGAAGTCTAATCATCTTAAGTCTGCCAAGATTGGAAAACAGAGTTTTAGAGGAATCTGTCCAACCGCAGTTAGGTTTAAAATCGGTCTAATCTTCAGAGGACAATTTCAGAGCACAGGCCAACCACAGCAAAATGGAATTGGAAAGCAGGACTTGTTGGCAATATATCACAAGTCTCCAGAGTGGAACAATAAAAGGGGAACAACAACAGCAGGGGAAAACACTCACCTAATAGCTCATCTGTCACTTTTGCATCTGACTTCTCCAAGGATTCCAGAACAAGCATGGAGAGATCAGCAGCGCTATTTTGCTAAAACGAAACAAGAAAACAAAATGAAGCGGAAGCATTTGAATGAATTCCTAGGTTATCAGGGGGAAAATAAAAGGCTGGTGAGGCTGGGAGGAAATATTTTCGTCGGGTTGTAAATTAAATATTGCTTGTATTAGCGAGGGGCAGCAAGATGCTTAAAAGATAGCAGAACTGCGATTTCGGAGGGTTGCAGAAGGTAATATGGAAAAAGGAGGGGTGTGTGTGGGGAAAACAGATGAGCACCAGAGAAGCCAGGCTCACAGAAAGGATATTTGGGGGGAAGGGAAGAATAGCAGCCAGATGGAGCAAGGGAATGTGTGAACCAGCCATGTATGTAGGCACCCACTAGAGTTTCTACCTCACTCACGGGGTAGAAACCATTCCCAGGAGGCCAGACACTTCCCCCAAAAATTTATTTCTGAGGTATCTGGGCTCCAGAAAGTATCCCATGGCCTCCCCAAAGCTGGAAGTACTTACTACACATTTTAGTTCACAGGTAGCGTATTTTTCAGAGTATAAGATGCACCAGAGTGTAAGACGCACCTTAGTTTTTCGGGAGGAAAATAGGAAAATTCTGCCTACCAGGTATTCATCTGGCTAGCGTCCTTAGTCTGGTCAGCTTCAGCACATTAGTTTTGAGTGCTGAAGATAAAAAACAGCTTCTAAAGCACAGCTGATCTTCGGAGAGAGAAGCAATGAGAAAAGCAGGCAAAGCCGGAAGATCGCTTTGCTCGCTAGCGCCTCGTTAGGGCTGAAAAACAGCTTCTAAAACACAGCTGATCGTCGGAGAGAGAAGCAATGAGAAAAGCAGGCTAAGCAAGGAAGATCGCTTCATTTGTCGTTAGGGCTGAAAAAAAGCTTCGAAAAAGCTACCTTCGAGTAAAAGACGCACTCAAATTTTCAGCCTCTTTTAGGGGGGGAAAGTGTGTCTTATACTCCGAAAAATACGGTAGGTACGTAGTGGGTGGGTGGGGAGAATCTGAGCAGCTATGCCCAGCCTGTTTTGGGAGTGCCAGAAGGGAGTGGGATTTGGGGGGGGGGGGAGCAGAAGGGAGGAGGATGAGGAGGAGGAGGAAGGTGGAATCCTTGATGCTCCCTGAACTTGGTTGTTTTCTTGCAGACGTTTCATTAACCCAAACTAGGTCACATTATCAGCGCTAGTGATGATGACTAGCACTGATAATGTCCCATAGTTGGGTAATGAAACGTCTGTAAGAAAATAACCAAGCTCAGAGAGCACCAAGGACTCCTCATTTCAACCCTGATTTTCAGACATTCTTCTTTACTGGTGAGTGCATTATCTTAAAATAATTCTGGAGTGGGCCAGTAATAAGGTAGCCCGTTTTCAAATTTCGAAGGGCTCTTGGGGAGAGATGGTACACTTTGGAAATGTGTTATCTTGCCCTCCTGGCTGCCAACTGGAGATGGGCATCTCCTTTCCCACCCCAACTTCTCCATGCTGATTGTTCGTAGAACCATCTTTCACACCATGTTAAATCGGTCTTACTTGATTATGGCTGAAGAAGAGCAGAGCCCCTGAATACATGAGCTCTCTGGCTTCTGCGTGTTTGCCCTGCGACATGTACCTGTAAATGAAAAGATTAAAAATGAAAATAAAATTACAGCAACAGGAAGAAGAATGAAAGGTCACCAGAATACACCACGAAGGGACAAGCTCCGAGAGGCTAGGGAACTTCATACAGAGGCCAATTCAGAATTGCAGGAGGCAGAACAAAGAATAAGAGTTTGCAGAAGACAGTTGGGTTAAATCTGTTGGATCAGAATGAATAGCCTGCCTTTCTCAGCAAACCAGGTTGCTCATTTACCTCTTAAGGTAAAGGTAAAGTTTCTCCTCGCACATATGTGCTAGTCGTTCCCGACTCTAGGGGGCGGTGCTCATCTCTGTTTCAAAGCCGGAGAGCCAGCGCTGTCCGAAGACGTCTCCGTGGTCATGTGGCCAGCATGACTCAATGCCAAAGGCGCACGGAACGCTGTTACCTTCCCACCAAAGGTGGTTCCCTATTTTTCTCCTTGCATTTTTTGCATGCTTTCAAACTGCTAGGTTGGCAGAAGCTGGGACAAGTAACGGGAACTCACCCCGCTACACGGCACTAGGGATTCGAACCGCTGAACTGCCAACCTTTCGATCGACACGCTCAGCATCTTAGCCACTGAGCCACCATGTCCCTTTTCATTTACCTCTCAACAGAAGGTAATATATAGATTTTAGCCCTGTTTTTTTGAAAAGAAGTCCGTTCTTACAACAAAAGCAGCTGAAGAGACACCTTGGTGCTTATTGCCATGGCTCTTCTTCATACACTCAGACCAGAAGATGAAGAGATAACTCTCAAGTAACTAGAGTAGAGTTTCTCAACCTGCCCCATTTAAAGATGTGTGGATGACAACGCCCGAATTTCCGGGAATTGATGTCCACACGTCTTAAAAATGGCCGAGGTTGAGAAACACTGCTGCGCTGGAATGTCCATATTCATCACAGCAAAGTGAACTGTAATACTGACAAACCTCCCAGCAAACTGAAACTTGGCTCTTAACTTTGCTACTGAAAATAACTCATTTCTTTGGGTAGCTTTTCTCCCTGCAAGGCTGAGCGACCTCAGCTGCAGCTGCCTAGATCAGCCTGGAAGGGAAGGGAAGGAAGTTTCTATTTTTTCTTTTTTTTGAAGGCCGGTGAGGAATGGGTACCCTGGCTCGGAGGGATCCCCAATTTAGGACCAGGTTTTGTTGAAGTGCCTGTTTCCTGCCCCTGGAAAATTCAGCACAGCCCATCACCCTTCCAGTTGTTTCAAATTCGCCAAGCTGCTCGGCGAGGCTACAATCCTTCCAAAATGAACAGGACACGCACAGGTAGTCCTCCGACTTACGGCCACAACTGAATCCCCAAATTTATGTGGTTAAGCGAGACTTTTGTTAAGTGAGCTTTGCACCGTTTTACGAGTTTTCTTGCCGCAGCCATTAAGGGAATCACTGCAGCTGAAAAGCTAGTCACACAGTTGTTCAGTGAATCTGGCTTCCCCATTGACTCTGCTTGTCTGAAGGTCGGAAAAAGGGACATGTGATTCTCCCCAGGGACACAGCAACGGTCGTAAGTATGAACCAGTGGCCAAGCATCTGAATTTCGATCACGTGATTATGGGCAGGCTGCAAAGGTTGCAACTATGAAATACAGTCCTAAGTCACATTTTTTGGTGCCGCTGTAACTTCAAACGGTCATTAAGCTAAGTGTTGTAAGTTGAGGACTACCTATATCATGATGGGGCTGCCTCTGTACTGTTGTTTGCCCTTCTCAAATACCAAGGCAAGGTGATGCCCAGGGGGCAATTAACAGATGCTGAAAGGTGACACCGTAGCAAGCCAAATCATACGACAACTCCAATGGATTTTTATACGCTAAGCTGGAAAATTGGCAAAAGGCAGCAGAGAAGCTCGCTTCAAAATATATTCTCTTCCTCGGTCTCTTTGGCACGTGGCTCCAAATGAAGCTCTGGCTGTATGGAACATATGCCCACATAACTGTACTAATATTATGGAGGGAAGGGCAGGAGGAGGAGATGCCAAATGGTCAAAAACAGGAGGGCCGGAGAGATTGGCAGTCCGCATATGTTTGTAGAACTGCCGCTTGGACACACCCGGAGACAATGTAAGCCAAGAGCCTGTTTCGCCACAGAATCAGCCACATTTGTTCCGCGCACTGCACCGTGCGCTTGCAATGATGTGCTTTTTACACGAGGGATTATAATCCGTGCAATTTTTAACTCCAGAGATTCTAGGATAGCAGTTGCCTCAAAAGCTTTTACAGACCTGTGACGGAAACCATGCTTCTAGAGCAGTGGTCCCCAACCTTTTTATCACCGCGGCCCGCTGAGTGCACGCAGGGGTGGGGGCACGGCCCAGGAGCTTTTGCGCACGGCCCAGGAGCTTTTGCGCACGGCCCAGGAGCCTTTGCGCTGCAGCGTTCATGTCCCCCGGCCGCTGTGCGGCCTGGTGCCAGGTACTCCACGGCCCGGCACCGGTCCGCGGACCGGGGGTTGGGGACCACTGTTCTAGAGGACTACGATATTTCTCATTGGACTTAAGCCTTTATCTGTCTATTTCCAGGCCTCTAGAATGAGGGAGAAACGTAGAAAAAGGTGCTAGTCCGAAGCAGTGGTGAAATCCAAATTTTTTTTACTACCGGTTCTGTGGGCGTGGTGTGGCTTGGTGGGCATGGCAGGGGAAGGATACTGCAAAATCTCCATTCCCACCCCACTCCAGGGGAAGGATACTGAAAAATCCTCATTCCCTCCCCACTCCTAGGGGAAGGATACTGCAAAATCCTCATTCCTTCCCCACTCCTGGGGGAAGGATACTGCAAAATCTCCATTCCCACCCCACTCTGGGGCCAGCCAGAGGTGGTATTTGCCGGTTCTCCGAACTACTCAAAATTTCCGCTACCGGTTCTCCAAAACATGTCAGAACCTGCTGGATTTCACCCCTGGGTCCAAGGAACAGGAGGATTCAGAATCCCATCTGTAAAACTTAGCAGGAAGAAGTGCCACAACTCTTTTAAAAAAAGGAGACAAAATAAAAATCGAATTGTGTCCATTGTACTACTAACAAGAAGAAAATCTGACGGAGCCAGCTTTAATCCTCACAGCTAATAACCCTGATCAAAATCATGCCTTCTTCGTTTCTCCTTCCATTTCCTTTTACATCCTACAATGTATCTTTCCGAAATATACATATATTTGAGCTTCCCAACAGATTCCTTTTGCTCCTTCTCAGCCCAACTAATAATCAGAGTGTGTTTATGTGTTAACAGGCAACAGGGCCACAAAAAAAAACTAAGCAGGGAAGATTATCGAAAGATTATGAGATTATTGTCACTATTTCAGTCATCGCCGCTTCTATTTTCAAAATAAAGGCCGATGTAATTTTTAAGGCGGAGAATTTCACTTTTGCTACTTACTTAATTCCAATTTTCCCATATTTCTTACGCCGCCAATGCCTCCGACTTCAGGGCTAGAGGCTTAGAATAAAATTGTTTGAACAATATCCCATGAAACCAATCTCAGCCAGGCAGGAAATGGCATTTTGCCTGTTCCAATCAGTTACAAGGTACAGAATTACTCAAAATCAGCACACAAAATACGTTTGTCATGTTTCATTTAAAGGTCACTCAATTCCCCTATTTTGGCCCAGAATGTGTTCAGCGCATACCATTACAACTCAGATCATAGGTTAATTATAATCTGGACGCTTAAGCATTTAAACAGTGAATAATTTATTGCTGCTCGGGGATATTTGAGACAGCTGAGGACACCAAGATGATTTTTTTTGGGGTGTGTGTGTGTCTCAAATCAGGAGTTCATGTCTTTTCAGAGCTCTGTTTTAGGAAAGTACAAAGCATTAATGGAAAAAAAATAAAATAAGAATAAGCCGTAGAATAGCTGTCTCCCCCAGAACTCCCAATTAACAAAGTCGGTGACTTAACATTATCAAGAAAATAGGAGATTAGGGAAAGGAGGCTGAATAGTAACCTTGAATTTTACAGGCAATCCTCGATTTACGACAACCGAGCCCAACATTGCTTGTGCTAAGTGAGACAGTTGTTAAGGGAGTTTTGCCCCATTTTGCGACCTTACTAGCCACAGACGTTAAGTGAGTCACTGCACTCCTTACATTAGTAATACGGTTGGGAGGTCTCAAAAGGGGATCAGGTGACCCCGGGGACACTGCGACGGTCATAAGTACGAACCAGTTGCCAAGCATTTGAATTTTGATCTCATGACCACACAGGAATGCTACAATGGTCGTTAAGTGTGAAAAGTCGCATTTTTCAGTGATCATTAAATGAACTGTTATAAATCGAGGACTACCTTTAATTCTTATATTTATGACTGTAACCTCCAAGAACATTAGATTCTTTGCTTTTGCTTAGAACAGTGTTTCTCAACCTTGGAAGCTTGAAGATGGGTGTTGGGATGGCTGGGGGATTCTGGGAGTTGAAGTCCACCCATCTTCAAGCTTCCAAGGTTGAGAAACACTGGCTTAGAAGAACAAGCACAAATGCTATAGACAGTGAGAAGAAAATTGACTTCTGCTGTTGTCCTTTAGCACACCAGACGCTACCACGCAGGAAAACAGTGAGGCCTACTAATTATTTTACTGCCAGCATGGATTCAAAATAATTACAGAAGTTTTAACCGAAGAGAAGCTGGTATCTCAACAAGAGGACCCTGAGAAGCCAACTTTCCCACCCGTCAATATTCAAGAGTGTTTTTGGTCTCTTTTTTTTCTTAGACCATAAAAAAACTGTCTTTTCAGCCAGACAACCAGGTAAGATAACTATATCCCTCTGAACTGTGGTAAAATCCAAAAATCAACATTTTAGCTTCTGGTTTGGAAAAAATTACTTCCAGAAACCACCGACCCATCTCCAGAATGGTATGATTTGAAGGTGAAATATTCTGGCGGTTTTGACCTATCCCTACTATATTTTCACTGAATTAACTGTCAAAATTTGCCCCCGTTGCTGATTCCTAACATGTTTTCTTCTGTTTGGTGTGACAGGTACAATGACTTTTGGATCCTTAATCCATTTTTCAGCTTGTTCCTTCTTCGACAACTCCTTATCACTCCCTAACGAATGCAAAATGGGTATACACTTTTAAATTATCCATGGTTTTAATCTTATGTGAATGACAAATAATAAAGAGCACGTGGACAGAAGTTTCAACTCTCTCTCTCCGATTCATCAAAAGTCCAACCGAAAGCATTTTATATGACTACTTAGGTCAGAGGTCTTCAAACTTGGCAGCTTTAAGACTTGTGGACTTCAACTCCCAGAATTCTCCAGTCAGCATAGTCCACAAGTCTTAAAGCTGCCAAGTTTGAAGACCTCTGACTTAAGCTAACCTGTATAATGAAGGATTGTGAAGACTTTCAACAGCATAATCATGTTCTAATTAGGTGCCTGGTTTTGTTATTTACTATTGTTGCATATAATAGGTGTGGCAGCTGTCAAGAGGAGGACAGTTCAGCAGTTCATCTGAACAGTTTGGAAAGTCGCTAAATCTGTCATAACACAAATCCGAGAGTTTGGAACGCTATGATCCCAATTCGGCTTATTCAGAATTAAATAAGGCTGTTTTCAAAGGGACTTACCTCCAAATAAAGACTAACAGATTTATTGTGGCAGGAATTTTGACAAGCTGGAGTCCACTTTGTCAGATGCCTCTGATGAAGTGAGATCCAACCTACAAAAGCCTACAGAACAACAGATTTCTTAGCCTTTTAAATCACTTCCGTCTTTCCCTTTTCAGGTATCATTAAGACAGCCGCCCTCAACTTAGTGCTCTGTGAATATTTTGTACAACTGTAGGAATATTCAGCTAATAATACCACAGGCTGGAAATCTGGAATCTTGCAATCTCAACACAACAGAAGAACCCCAGCGCGGAGAAGGATGCATTATGCTGTAACTACCTCTGGGTTGAAAATAGATATAAAATTAGCAAAATAAATCTTGCTTGATCATATCATTTTTAATGGCTGAAGCAAACAGCTAAATAGGATTTTCATTCGATTTCCCAAAAATCTATTCCTTAGGGGATCATATTTCTGAAAAAAGGCAATCTTTTTCAAAACCGCTTAGAGTGGCACCAGGTACTATGTTCTTTTTTTTTTTTTTGGCATACTCATCATCTCTAGGGTGAAACAATTTTACTGTTTTGATAGTATTTGGATAGTAAAATTGTTTCACAATTGTTTCAAATTCGTTTTGAAAAAGGTCTATAAATAAACGTACTTTGATTAGATTCTTTCTCTAATACTATCCACCACCATTTGGTGACTTAAAAGATAGCATCGCAGCATGGAAATTTCTAGAACAGCAAGCAAGCCAATTCTCTTACGAAGAAAAGAACACCTCAAAAGTTGCAGTTGGGGGCATTATTGGTCTTATTGTATCCGTGCTGAAGCTTTGCACAGACGTTACACTTTTCTGTTCTTTTTCAAAGCCCCTTCACCTCACTTTTCATTCTCCTGGGCTTTTAGGCAAAAATATATATTTACAAACTGAGGGCCAAAGCCAGGTTCTAGTGCACACAACAATTTTCTGATGTTAAACATTTGGCAATTTTTAAGATTTGCCATAAAATCCACTTGTGTGTTTGTGTGTATATCTACCCATCTAGAATGGAATGTGTGCCATCTGAGCTTTGCACAGAAATGTCACAAACAAGCCTCTTAAATTACCTTTTGGCCCTACTGTAAAAAGTGAAGACATACATTTTTACTGCAGTTCATTTAGTTACAAGGAAGGGTGGGTAGGTGGCTATTTTCAGGTTTATTGCTCTTTAACACGGAGGACTGTTTAAACCAGTGTTTCTGAACCTTGGTAGCTTGAAGATGGGTGGACTTCAACTCCCAGAATCCCCCAGCCAGCGGGGGGGTGGGTGTTAAACCATCCAGTTTAACAGTTCTTTCACGAGCCTATTTCTGTACTCTCCGGATTAGCTTAACCCCCTTTTCAATCCTCACTACCTTTGATCTGGACATGCAACTACTGCTCAAAAAAGAGCCTTGGTAGTACAGGGGTTTAAGGCACCCTGTTATTAAGCTTATTAAGACCAGATGCCTGCAATTACTGCAGGGTTCGAATCTCGCCAAGGCTCAAGGTTGACTCAGCCTTCCATCCTTTCTAAGGTAGGTAAATTGAGGACCCAGTTGTGGGGGCAATAAGCTGACTTTGTATAAATATACAAAAGGATGAAGGCTATTGCTGAGCACATTGTAAGCCGCCCTGAGTCTTCGGAGAAGGGCGGCATATAAATCAAATTAAAAAAAAAAAAAGATTTTTGGGTTCATGCCTTGAGCATTATCAGCCCCAACTGTACTAGTCAACAGAAGAGTCTTTGAAATTGTAACTTAAAACAAAGAGAGAGCAGACTAGGCTGCACAGAGTCGCTATGGATAGTGAGATGGGTGAGATATGAATAGGTAAAATAATAAATCTGATGAACAGGAGAATGAATGCTTCAACCACAGCTGTATTAGAGGTCTAAGAATATAGCACAACCGGTCAGGTTTACCCAAGGCAAGAAACCACCCAAGGTGAACAAGCTGGATTCCTCCTTGGGTTCAAACCTGCCCCACCCCCACCCCCAGCCTAGCATCATCTGTGAATCCAACCTGAAACTCACCCATTTGTTCCTCCAAAAGGAGATATAATATATATATATACACACACACACACACATGTACCAGTCCTGTATCGGCGTGGCTTCTCTGTATGAGATCTAGAAGAGGCCCATCTCCTGGCAAGCCTCTGCAGCACCCCAAAAAAACCACCTCAAACCCCCACTTTGTAAAAAGGAAAGGGCTCCCAAACCTTTCCCCCAACGAGATGCAGTTGGGTTTGCACTAGGGCAGGGGTCTCCAACCTTGGCCGCTTTGTGGACTTCAACTCCACAAGCCTTAAAGTAGCCAAGGTTGGAGAGACCCCTGCACTTCTAGGGACCATGTCAGTTTGTAGAATATGCTTCCATGTTTGGGCCCAGTTGTCCCTTCAGGGCAGGGGTCCCAAAACTTAGCCCTTTTAAGGCTTGTGGACTTCAACTCCCAGAATTCCCTGGAACTAACGCATTCCTTTTTGATATGTCTATTCACTGTAAAGCAAATTACTCTCTTGCAATCCCTTCCTCTGCAATCTCCCCGCTGTAGCCTGTTTGCTCTCCTGCAATCCCTTCCTCTGCAATCTCCCCGCTGTAGCCTGTTTACTCTCCTGCAATCCCTTCCTCTGCAATCTCTCCACTCTAGGGGCTAGGAGAGAGAGGAAAAAACAAAAAAAACAAAACACCAGGCATGGCTGGGTGAGGAATCCTGGGAGTTGAAGTCCACAAGTTTTAAAGGGGCCCAGTTTGGAGACACCCCCCCCCCACTTTAGGCCACTGGAGCTGCTTTTAGGATGGGTGGACTTCAACTCCCAGAATTCCCCCTTGGGAGTTGAAGTCCACCCATCGCGCTTGCGCCAACATCACCCCCCCTCCACCAGCATTCCTATACGCGGGGGGGGGGGTTCCCTATTACCCCTCCCTACCCGATAGCCAAGCCCGGCCATGGGAGGGGAGAATGGGCTAGGGAGTCCTTCCTCAACCTCCTCCTCTCCTCCACCCCCCCCCCACACAGCTCATTCCCCCCCTCCCTGCCTTGGCCAGACCGGCGTGCCCGCTCCCCCGCCTCCTCCTCGACCAATGGGGCTTCGAGGGCCCGAGAAGGACAAGCGGCGCAGCCAATGGCGTGCGGCCGGCGCTGGGGTGCGCCAATGGAAGCGTCTGGAAGGAGGGAGGAGGAGGGCCGCCCTCTCCCTTTTTACGCACCTGAAGAACAGAGTCCGGTACATCTGGTGCGCCTCGTAATAGTCTCCCTTCTCCACGCTGGCGCGGAGTTTCCCCTCGACGCGCTGGACGCCTCCCCGGTTGCGGCCGCTGTTGCCGCCGCCGCCGCCGCCGCCGCCGCCCTTCAAGGCCTCCTGCTCCGCCGCCATGACTGCGGGGCGGGGAGAGAAACGCCGAGGCGACCCTGGCCGGAGCTACCTCACGCGACGTAACGCACGCACGCACGCACGCACGCACGGCGGCTTCCGGCGCCGCCCACTTAACAATGGGGCGACGGCGGCCGGCGAGGGACCCGAGGCCGCGCGCCGCGCGCAGGGAGGGAAGGCGAGTGACGTCGCGGTCGCGTGACCTCCACCTGCGGGCGTGCCAGCGCGGAGGCGGTCCCTGGCTGGCGTCTCCTAGGCGACGCCGCCAAGGATGCAGCTTCTTCTGGACCAGAGCATCCTTCGGGCCGGGTTGGCCACCTCTTTGCAAAGCCGACCCAGCTGACTTGGGGGCCGTTTTCTTTCAGCAGCTGGGATGCTTTTAACCCTGTTGGGTTTTGAGGGATGCTTGGGGGGGGGGGGGCAAGGCCAACTTCCCCAATTGAAATTGGAAAAACAATGGCTACCAACCTGCCTTCCATTGAGGACTTGTATACTGCACGAGTCAAAAAGAGGGCTGTGAAAATATCTGCAGACCCCTCGCATCCTGGACATAAATTGTTTCAACTTCTACCCCCAAAAAGACGCTATAGAGCACTGCACACCAGAACAACTGGACACAAGGACAGTTTTTTCCTGAATGCCATCACTCTGCTAAACAAATAATTCCCTCAACACTGTCAAACTATTCACTAAGTCTGTATTACTATTATTCTTTTCTTCCTTACTAGTATCTATCTCTTCCCACTTATGACGATAACCATGTTGCTTGTATCTTTCAATTATATTTGTTTCCTAGTATGATTTGATAGCTTATTAGTAATCTTGACTATCACTAAGTCTTGTATCTTTTTATTCTTGATGAATCTATTTTATTCTCCTTATGTACACTGAGAGCATATGCACCAAAGACAAATTCCTTGTTGTCCAATCACACTTGGCCAATAAAGAATTCTATTCCTATTCTATTCTATTCTATTCTATTCTATTCTATCCTATCCTATTCCATATTTTCTATTCTATTCCATTCCATTCCATTCCATATTTTCTATTCTATTCTATTCTATTCTATTCTATTCTATTCCATATTTTCTATTCTATTCCATTCCATTCCATTCCATATTTTCTATTCTATTCTATTCCATATTTTCTATTCCATTCCATTCCATTCCATATTTTCTATTCTATTCTATTCTATTCTGTTCTGTTCTGTTCTGTTCTGTTCTGTTCTGTTCTGTTCTATTCTATTCTATTAAAATTTCTTCTGGAACAAAGGTTGAAGGTGGAAAAAAAAAAAGAGGACAAGCCCACCATCTTTCCAGATCCCACAGATGTGGTCCTCCAAAGTCTGTCTAGGGGCTTTAGGAAAGAGAGCGCTGCAAGGGCACACACCCACGTCGCGTTTCAACCCCAACCAGTCTGGGTGTTCCAAGTGAGGCTTTGCCTGTGGGAGTTGCCTCTAGTCAAGCGAGTTTAACCACACCAAATCACGGAGACGAGACCTACTTACGGCAACTGTTGAAAGCAAACCAAGAGATGCTTCATACTCTTGCGCAAGGACGGAAGAAGGCAGGCAGCCAAGGATGCCCCAGTAAACCTGTCCCAGTCTTATTAGTTGTGACTGACAGATTTAGGGACTTATGACTTCTAAAGGTTTGTTTCCCAGAGAGAGAGAGGGGTGCTTTATTCTGATTGATTTGCACCCATATGCATATTGTCAAGGATCTTTTTTATTTCTACCTTGTTTTTAAGGAAAAACAATCTTTCCTTGGGTAATAGTTCTGACTTGTCATTTTAAAATCAGGACAGGCATTACTGAAATATCCGCTTTGAATGTCGTCCACACTGTTCTCTTTTTTGAAGATGCTAACCATATGGAAATCAGGAATAAAGGATGTACTGTTACACTTGAATATTTTGACAAAGTTCCCTTACCCGCATTCTTTTCATGTAGATTTCTGTATAACAGAAATAAGGGTTCTATTGTAGGTTTTGCCCGCTCCCTGTATTTGCTAATCCTTTTAAGGAGTTTGATCCCTCCCCAACCACGTACATTATGAGAAGCATTCAGTATAAATATCCAAAAGGAAACTTTATTCTTATTTCCAAATATTACATGCACTTTCAAAAATTAAAATTCTTAAACTTTTTTCAATAGCTTCTGGTCAGTTAGGAGGCAGCAAAGGATACCAGAGACAAATATTTTGAAAAAGCATTTACAAAAATACATTGCACAAAGTCCTATCTCATTTTTTTAAAAATAAGTTAGTGTTATGCAAAACAAACGAACCAACCCTGCCCTCCCCTATCTGGATTTATACAGGATAATTTGGAATCAAAAACTGTTGACAGGTTTTACTAAGCTTTTCTCAATAGCCACTGGTTCTAGTTTAAGCTAAATGCAGCAGAACAAGTGGTATTCAAGAATAAAACTTGCTTTTATAAATATCTCAGGACTCTTGTGCAACATATGAAAAAATAAAAAAAAATATCAGCATGTCTTTTTTCTGAAATCAGAGTTTACCTTCCAAAATCCCAGGAAAGTACCATTTTCATAGGAAAAAAAAAAAAGCTTTTTGAGCCAGATCCTGACAACATTTCAAAATTAAATTTTAAAAAAGGAAGCTGAATTGCCAGGGATTCTGAACAATGACTTTAAGGGAAATTCCCCATAGAATCTAATAATTGCTCCAGGTGCCATCTTGAATTTGATAGCCCATTTTTATCATGTGCATATGCATGCTTTAAAAAAAAAAAAGTAAATAGATCCTTTTTTTGGAGAACCGATTCAAAACAGTGCCTTTTGTGGTTTCCCATATATTCGGCCTTGTGAAGCTTCCCCTGAATTTTCAGAGATTAGCAGCAATCCCAAAGAGAACTCTGAGAAGAGTAAACTGCACAAAACCCAACGTGCGAATAAGCTCCAGGCCTGAATTTTACTGGCAAACTGCTTTCTTTTGACGTTTAGTGTTCCTACTTTAATCTTCTACGCCTGACTCCATCTCTACATTTCCTTTTCATTATCTCCCATCACATGGTAGCCAACTACTATTCTGGATCTGTCTAATTCAATTCCATCCAAACCATTCTCCATGTAACAAAGTCCTTAATCCACCTGTTTCCCTCGCTGCTAACACATGGGAGATATTTTGCCTTCGGCACACGAGGCAACTTACCAATTCACACTCCATCCCTATTTCTTACTAGAACCCATCAAATTAGACTCAAGCCCTTTCTACGTTAAAACAATCACTACTGATATTCATTTGGATGTTAAAATAAAGGATGTTTTTTTTGTTTACTAATATATATTTAAGGGAAAGCATTCTAAACCTGGAAGATGGATATAAAAGCAAACTTCAGTTGAAATCAGAAACTTCAACCTAAGAATTAAATGTTGCACGGAAATGACTGGAAGTGATGAAGTAGCTTCAAGGATGAAGCAGTTTTGTCAAGCAACACTCTGAGCAGTGGTAATAGACCTTAGTTTCAAAGCTTGTGCTGGAATTGCAAACAAACCTTCATCTGATTGGGAACTGCATAAACAACAGAACATGCTAAATTTCACCAACAGTCCTTGTTATCTTAATCACATCCAGGTGCAGAGGAGAGTCCCAATATTTTAAAAAAAATAAAAATAAAAATAAAAATACCAGATTCCTAACGGTCAAAAGGAAAAATTTAAAAGGTTTATCTTCTGATTTATTAAAAGAGGGGTTAGTGATTTGCTAATTGGGCTTAGGAATGAGAGCAGTTGGCATGCGGGGTTTTTTTTCCCCCCCTTCGGAAAGAACACATTAAAAACATAAAGCTGTCTGGCAGTTACAAGCTGAGCATCTTGAGCAAATAACCATTAGGTTTGGGATACAATTTTGTTGGCAATCTTCTACGTTTAGCCAGGAAAGAGTAACACAACCTGTTGGACATTACACATCTTCATCTTTTTAAAGATTCCAGTGTTCAAAATTTCCCTTTATAAACTTAAAAACAGAAATGATGTATAACCAGTGTAGGAAAATAAGCGTAGTGTTCATTCAGCAGTTTGCCCGTGCACTCTGAAGCGATAGAGGCACGTATATTCTGCATGACCCCAATTGGAAAATATTCTTAGTTCCACTATTTGGAATGCTTTATCAGTTGTCTCCTAAAAGAAGGAAAAAAATAAAATGGTATTAGAATCCATTACAGGGAGTCCTGATTTACGACCACAATCGACCCCAAAATTTCTGTTGCTAAATGAGACAATTGTTAAGTGAGTTTTGCCCCATTTGACGACCGGTCTTGCCATGGTTAAGTGAATCATTGCAGTTGCTAAGAGACTCTTGACTCTTGGAAGGTCACAAAAGGAGAATCACATGACTCTGGGACACCGTCATAAATATGAGCCAGTTGCCAAGAATCCGAATTTTGATCATGTGACCAACGGGGATGCTGCAGTGGTCGTTAAGTGTGAAAAAGGGTCGTGAGTCATTTTTTTTCTAGTGCTGTTGTAACTTCGAACGGTCACTAAATGAATTTTTTAAGTCAAGGATGAACATGTACTATTTTCATGCTAGGCGTTTTTTATGCAAAGCATAAAAAAAAAAAAAGTTTATTCTTCTGAAATGTTGGCCTACCGAGACCGGAAACATCTGTAATGGTTCTCCATCCTGATCGTATGTATACTGGCCCAGAAGTATTCCCTCTTCTTGATATTCATTTTCAAGACCCTGTCAACACAAATGGTTTGTATAGCTCTGAATTCTTGATAAAGAAGATAAAGCAGATCAACTTTAATTTTCAGACTCGCTGGCCTTCAAAAAAGATGATTATTTATTTACTTTTATTTATTAAATAGTCTCTGCTGCCCATCTCACTAATACAGCCCTTAAACCTTTCATATTCTTTTGCATCCCTGATCTCAGGTGAACACTCACTTCCACCCCTCTAGAGTTCAAACTAGCTACTTTATTGTTCTTTGAAACTCGACATTAAGAAAAGAGGGCATCCGGCCCTCTTAAATCCTGGCAAACAGATGGGGAAGAAATGGAGGTAGTGACAGATTTTATTTTCCTGGGCTCCAAGATCACCGCAGATGGGGACTACAGCCAAGAAATTAAAAGAGGCTTGCTCCTGGGGAGGAAAGCTATGGCAAATCTAGACAGCATACTAAAAAGCAGAGACATCACCCTGCCAACAAAAGTGCGTATAGTCAAGGCGATGGTTTTCCCAGTTGCAATGGATGGCTGTGAAAGTTGGACCATAAGGAAGGCTGAGTGCCAAAGAATGGAGACCTTTGGACTCTGGTGCTGGAGAAGACTCCTGCGAGTCTCTTGGACTGCAAGGCGATCAAACCGGTCGGTCCTAGAGGAGATCAACCCTGACTGTCTAGTCTTTTCCCAGTGAAGGCTGCCAGTCTGAGAAGATTCCTATGAAATAGGCATAGAACAATAAAGTAGTAGTAGTTGTTGTTGTTAGTTGTGAAGTCGTGTCCGACCCATAGCGACCCCATGGACGACGTTCCTCCAGGCCTCCCTGTCCTCTACCATCCTCTGGAGTCTATTTAATCTCACACCGACTGCTTCAGTGACCCCATCCAGCCACCTCGTTCTCTGCCGTCCCCTTCTTCTTTTGCCCTCAATCTTTCCCAGCATTAGGCTCTTCTCCAGGGAGTCCTTCTTTCTCATCAGGTAACTAAAGTATTTGAGTTTCATCTTCAGGATCTGGCCTTCTAAAGAGTAAGGCTGAAAGGCATTTGAGGTGCCTTTGAAAAAGCTACATTCAGAATATAAGACACACCCAAATTTTCAGCCTCTTTTAATGGGGAAAAAGGTGCGTCATGCTCCGAAAAATAAGATAACTAAAGACTGACCTACCATGGGAAAGTTTTTATTTTTTAATTATGTATTAAAAAATCCTAAGGTATTAGAAATCCTTTAATCTTTACTAGAAACCCTGAAGCAACTTTAGTTGAACCCTAAGACAATACCCCTTTCATTTTGCAGACGGCACGCCACTTACGTAGACTAAGAAATCCTTCGGGGCGCTGGTAATATTGCCTGTGGGTGAAAGCGATCTTGGGATGTGTTCCAGGCAGAAAGATGTTGGATAAATCATCATCGAAAGCCTGATCACCAGGTAACCCTGTGATCCTTTGAAAGCCCAGCAGTTTCCAGGGTACATGTCAGGCTGTGGAGAAGAACCAGAAGTTGCAAATAAATAAACAAACAAACAAACATAATACTGGAAACAATTGAGAACACCAGTTTGGGGTAGTGGTTTAGGCCACAGGCTAGGTTTAAGAGGCAGTGAGTCTGAGGACTACTTGTATACATAGTCGTTGACTTACGACCACAATTGAGCCTGTTGCTAAGCGAGACATTTGTTAATTTTTGCCCCACCTTATGACCTGTCTTGCCACAGTTGTTGAAGTGAATCACTGAAAATTGTTAAGGGAATCAGGCTTCCCCATTGACTTTCCTTGTCAGAAGGTTGCAAAAGGTTGACTCAGCCTTCTATCCTTTCTAAGGTAGGCAAAATGAGGACCCAGTTTGTGGGGGCAATAAGCTGACTTTGTATAAATATACAAAAAGGATGAAGGCTACTGCTTAGCGCATTGTAAGCCGCCCTGAGTCTCCGGAGAAGGGCGGCATATAAATCAAATTAAAAAAAAAAAAAGGGAAAACACGCCCCCTGGAGACTTGCAACCGTCATAAATATGAGTCAGTTGTCAAGCGTCTGAATTTTGATCATGTGACTGTGGGGACAGTGCAACGGTAAGTGATAACGGTCATAAGTTGCAACTGTCGTAACTGAAAAGTGATCGTAAGCTTTTTTCAGTACCGTTGTAACTTGAAACTGTTGTAAATCGAGGAGTGTCTGTAGAAAGGGCTCTACAAACCCTCCCTATCCTAGTTACCTGGATCACTACGCGGGGCGATTGGGAGAAATACCACAAGGGAATTCCAAAGAGGCTCAGCAGCGCCGTTTTGGTTTCGTAGGTCTCTGAACAGCGAGTGCTCAAAATGCTGCCACCTCGAAGAAACACAAGAGAGAGGGGAAATCTTTTAGCTTCGTTCATCGCAGCAGCTTTAAAAAACAAGACTCTTGTTCTTGGCTTAAGAAGAGACTGGACAGAATATTATCAATTATGGAATAAGTGGAATGATTGGCTAAAGATTAGGGAAGGTAAAAGGGGAATAAATGATGTGATAAATGTGTAAAATATTGTAAATGAATCAAACTAGAAATAAAGGGACGATAAAGATAAAGACAATAAAGAATGAGAAAAATGGGGAATGTAGAAAGTAGAAAGTAAGAGGAATGAAACTGATATGTAAAAAGACACACACATTTATTAAAGCCGTTTAATAAAGGGTGACATGATTAAAAGCTAGAATAAGTGATAGAAATAAGAGAAGGGGGAATTTTAGTGTATACATTTTTATATAGCAAAATGAAAGCAACAACAAGAGAAAATGTGGAATGACTGAACAATGATAGGCTGTAACATCATATAAATGTGTATTATTATTAAAAATACATAAGCTGATAGCATGTAATAATTATGATTAGTTTTATTTGCATTAGAATGTATGACACGCAGATGCCACACTGTTCACGCATTGATTTGAGATATTTATTTAAAAAACAACAACCCCCCACTTAAGTTATTAAAAAAAGAACCGAAATAAATCTTCCTAACTCTTGATCCCTTACCTCCGGATTCCAAAGCAAAATCCACGATGCCTGTTTTGTCTTGGGAGTAGAGTCTCAGGGCGTTGTTGACAATGACCTGTGCTTGCTGCGAAGGGAGAGAGATGGACAGAGATTCCTGGTCAGCATTTCAATAAATCACCAGTGACCAGAGAATTCCTTTTGCTACAGAAAACATCATCTGTACCGTCTTAACCTGCTTTTAAAGGGGGACGTAGAGAGAACCCAGCAAATCTGAACCTCCCAAAGGTGTTTTTTCAAGAGGTGACTGGACTTTCTGATTCAAAAAAAGCACTTTTGGGACAAACCATGACCTGCATGACTGAGAATCTCCACAGACATTTAGAAATATGAACACTCTCTCTCGCTAGCTCAGAAGATCTCAAAAGAACATCCTTACACGCCGCTCTAAATCTCAGCCTTGCTCTGCAGCATCTAAGAGAGATCTACTCACTATTATTGACTCTTACTGAAGCAACTCTCCAGAGATAGAAGGCTTTCCGCAATCTTTGTTTTTCAGAACTCTATATGCAACAGAGGTCCCAAGAAACAAATCTGGAACCTTCAACATGCAAAGTATAAACTCTGCACTGAGTTATTTTTTATCAAACTGTAGCACTGGAGGAGGAAAAAATATCTCAAACACCTGATAGCATATGTTCAAATAAGAATAACATAATTGGTGTTCCCAAGGAAAGTTATTTTTTACATTTGGCTGCTAGCTTGAAAAGCCATTTAAAACTTGGATCTATGGCATCATTTTCTCCTGTTTTTCTAATAACATAGATCCAATAAAGTCTCTTTTTTGAACGGAAATGGATTAGGAACCAAAAATTAGATCAGGCATGACTAATATCAGGCCTAGAGTCTTGATACTCTGGTTAGTCAAAAGTGTGTGGAATCTCAAAGCCTGTAAAGTTTCTGACAACTGTGCTTGGCTGACAATTTATTGCATTGGCTCAATAAATCAGGCCCAAGGCTTCAGGAAAGATTTAGCAGAACTAAGGTTCAAATACTTAGGTCTGCTGAACACAGGCCTAGCTAAAGAAGCACCACAAACATCACTCGCTTTTAAGTTCCAGTTTCTACAACTCATGGCTTTGATCTTTTCAGTCTGCTTTTAGAGAATATACAGTAGAACGATAATGAGATTCCCACATTTAATCAAACATCTGTATAACAATTAAGGTGTGCCTTTGCTTACTTAAGGACATAACATGATTGTCAAAGAAACAAGGCAGATATTCAAGTAATAGTGTTGCCCTTTTTTCCCCCTCATTAAAATACATTGTCTTTCAACTTTCACTTAAGTAGTAGGTTGGGAGCCTCACCTTCCCCTGAAACATAAGTCTCCAAAAGTTAGAGGCCTGAACCCCAGGCAGATTGGGAGCAGCTTCTCACTCCCACGGTGTGTGTGTGAGTGTGTATGGAATACAAAGTGAAATTGCTTCCCTCCAACTTAAAAAACTAGGCAAGCCCTCTGCTTACTTTCCACTCCAAATTATTAATTACTTAAAAAGCAACTAGACATCAGCCCCTCCCAAGGTCTCTGGAAAGGAGGACGCCTGCTGGGATGGGCAGCACTGACTATGGGACAAACTGGTACACAAACAAGTACTTTCAGGCAGTTCCATCTCCTAAGCAAGATGATGTATGCAAGAAGCAATGAGAATTTGACCACGTGCACCAAATATTGACACAGCTATTATAGGAAACATTAATCACAGCTGGTAATTCATTTCCTTTCAGCTTTAGAAGCATTTACCATTCTGGATCTCTGTTTCTTCATCTCACTAAGTTGCTGAACATATCTGACTCATAGAAACAGTTCACTGTATAACGACAAGAACAACAGGAGCCAAGTTGTCCCCAAATATGTGGGCAGAGAAATTGGGTGGGTGGGTGAGTTCTTCAAATGGCTCCAGATAGAGAACCTCGCTCAACATTTCTCAAGGGCACCAAAAAAAAAAAAAAAAAGAAAGAAAGAAAAGAAAAGAAAGTAAGTTACCTGGGGAGATCCTTAGTTAAGGTGTGGGGGGCAGCTTGCTGGCCTGATTCAGAAAGCCCTGGATTCATCTCTAGTTCGGATCCCCAGCCTTTCAGCAACAGTCAGCATTATGTTTTTCTGAGGACATGTACAGAAAGCAGAAGAATTAGCAGATGAGTCATTCTATGTCACTTACTTCCAGCTTCATTAAATTTATACTTTGCTATTAAGCCATCTCACTGTAAAAAAGGCATACTGTATAACAAACTGAAACAATAAGCACTGAATAAAGCTGCAAATTCTGACTATTTAGGATTATTGCCATTGATAGCAAATATGAGATCCCGTAACTGAGCTGCTGATGGGCATTAGTACAAAACTCCAGGTTTGCATCCTTAAAAAGGTAAAGGTTCCCCTCGCACATACATGCTAATTGTTCCTGACTCTAGGGGGCGGTGCTCATCTCCGTTTCAAAGCTGAAGAGCCAGCGTTGTCCGAAGACGTCTCCGTAGTCATGTGGCTGGCATGACTAAACAGCAAAGGCGCACGGAACACTGTTACCTTCCTACCAAAGGTGGTCCCTATTTTTCTACTTGCACTTTTTATGTGCTTTCGAATTGCTAGGTTGACAGAAGCTGGGACAAGTAACGGGAGCTCACCCCGTTACACGGCACTAGGGATTCGAACCGCTAAACTGCCGCCGTTTCGATTGACAAGCTCAGTGTTTTAGCCACTGAGCCACCACGTCCCCTTGAAAATGGTTTTTCTCCATTTCTATATAATGCAGAGAGAACTGTAGTGTGGTTTAAAACAAGGTTTTTCACAAGGAGTTCTTTTAACTTTTCATGAGAACTTAATGGAGAAAGAAGAAAGTTCACTGTGACGGTCAATCTTCTGTCACTAGAGCTTTGTCTCTTGATTAGGGAATTTCTTTTTAATCAACAGGTTCCAAGGCCTGGAAAAGTTTGGAAAGCGCTTTTTCAGAGGACCAGAAAAACCTAAGGTTGAATTTGTGCTTGATCCTTCCTGAAGATCACCCACAACTGAAGATCTTTGCTGCTTTAGTATTCCAAGCAATATGTCTCTCTGGTTCACGGAAATTTTACCTACATCATGTACCTTTCTGATTTCTACAAAATTGCTGTGTTTTGATTTGAAAGATCTTAGCTCTTTGTCATTTTAAGTCAATTTCTAGCCCATTTGACTGCAATTTGCACAGAAACATATTTGAAAATATACTGATGACACCTAAAGGCAAATGGAAAACAAGACTTTTGAATAGATAAAATCTAACGAACAGAATTAGTGTCTTCCAATATTCTTTCCTTTTATCCATTGATAGAAAACTAGCCAAAATCAATTAGATACGGTTGTAGAAAAAGTGGAAGCCTGAAATATTATGCAAGATAATTCAAAATATTACATCATTTCTGCAGAAAAATCCACTTTGAAAGCATCTCCAGATTTCTGACTTCACATGTCTGTCTTAAAATATGAACATGATGTATTTCTGGCTCATGTATTTGAAAATGCAGTAAAAGTAGCCTTTCTTTAAATCACTGCAACACTAGAGCTTATGTAAAGCTCAGTTTCCCATTTGCAGAAAGTTCTACTTTATCTTATAGTGTTTTGCATGTTGGGGAAGGGTGAAACATGATCATTACATCATAATACAAATAATGCAACTTACATATTTGCATCAAGTGTCATGACATCATTATGTAATAATGCCAATTAAGTAATGGCATGATGGCATATCTCATTATTTTGACATTGTCATGGTTTCTGAAAGACGCCATTGCTTCCCAGATTTATTTTTTTGCATATAGTCAGACAAACGCACAGCAACATCAAGTAAAAACATGGACCTGTGTTTGTGTCTACACAAGCAAATTGCTTTATTTCTCTTTTGCATGGTATAGCAGTGAGAAGACCTTTGTTATAGCTGCAGTACTGAAGACAACTTGTGGGATTACTGCTGGTTTTTTTTTTCTGTGGTTAGACTTAGCACATTTGAAGAGAACTGTGGGTTCCTCTTCAAGTTATTTTTGTGTGTTTAGGGACTAAGAAGCAATGCTACATATGGGCACCATACATACCCTTCCTAAAAATCTGTACATTGCAAGAAAACACATGTGGAAGTTGAAGCTCTGTGCAAGTTCCATTTGTCTAAAAAAATAACATGAAAAGTTACCTGAATCACTTCCCTAAACTACTGTGGTAATCTGTCTGTGAGGCAAGAATATTTGTACATTTTATCTAATACAATATTAGTTTTTAATCCAGCAAAGAAAAAAAAGATTTATACTTTTTAAATATATAATTTTTATTAATATATTCTATACACTAATACACAAATAAAATATACAATCCTGCCACCATGGTATAATATGATTACATTGTCCATAAGTATAAAATCATTCCTTTATACATACATATTTGCCATCATATATATACATCATCATATGTCTATTCTATCCCACCTTTTCTGGATCCAATCGTACCATACTTTCCAACTGTTATAAAATTCTGAATCTTTTTTACCATTGATCAATCTAGTTAGTCTATCTGATTCCGCAAAAGATTTATACTTCATGCAGCAAGGTAATGGTGCCAAATAGTTATAATGAATTTGCATAACTAATTCAACCATTCATGTAGATAATTACCCAAGTTACAAACCCTCTAGAAGCACATGCATTTTTCAGTCTAGTTCTCAAAAATGTAAATCAGTAGTAGTTGATAGTCTGGGACAGCAAATGGCTGATAATGCATAAAATAACAAAGTCTACACTGATGCGAGTCTGCTAAAAAAAGAGCACAAAACAGAAATCAGAGAGGAAGCATCTCGTAAGTGTTTAATGCCCACATTTTCATTTCCACTTGTACTGAATTAGAATGTTTTGCTATCTCTTTGTACTGAATTTGTACTGTTGTACTGAATTTGAAATGTTTTGCTATCTCTTCTCTTAGCTTAATAATTGTGCTAAGCACAGGCTCATGGACAAGAGAAAAGAGCACTTTTTTTCATTCCTCCGTCTGGAAAATCCTAACAAATGTAATTTAAGCTTTCACTCCTGTTATTTTACTACTAATTCCACTTCCTCTTAGGAAAATCAGTCATTTTTTTTTCTTTTTTAAAA